ATGTTCCGGCAGTTAGGGCTTGAGCCGGTTCATGCGAGGTGGCCACCATGCCATGCCAAACCGACATCACCAGTCCCTTTCTCCCTCCCGACGATTCCAACTACTGTTTCCGAAAGCTTCAACTCTGCAGACTAGGCACAGGGATGCCACGATACGAAGATTTGACGCTCTGTATTCCAATTTCTAAGCTTCCACAGCCATCCTCGAAAGCTACAAACTGTTCTTGCTCGATGCTTGACTCCCGAATCAACGATCCAATATATACTCATCTCAAAAACTTCGAGGTGTTTGGTGACAGAATTGGAAGGACGCCAAAACCTCTGAGAATCGAGCATCTACTGGCAGCATGGGATATCACGCAGCAAGAGGATGGCTACGGTGCAGAGAACAGAGAGTTCATTCAACTCCTGTCGAAGAATGTCAATATAGCATCCTAGCTCCTGGAGACAGTATTGATCCTATCTCACAGTCCTTCACAGCCAGCGAAAAAGCCAAAATACCGTCTCCGGGACCTCCAAGTCTTGCCCCGTCACCGAATCTTCCCTCATACAACTGACCTGATCCGACTCCCACTTAGTACATGGCCTCGAGCAGCGCGAAACGTCACGCATTGCTACTGTTCGGCCTTCACTTACATCATCATGAATCGAATGTTCAACGACGAGGAAGGCCGCCGAGAAGTAGTATGCGGAAGGAAATGGAAGTGGAAGGGGAAGGGCCGGGCAGGACCATCCACGAGCGACCGTATACTCAAAATCTGGGATTTCATAGAGCGCGAAGGATCATGGCGTGATAAGGTAGACAGTTGAGCACTCATGATTTGTATTTCTTACAAAGTCTCTCCCTTCAATATGTATATGCATGTATGTACATGCAACTAGCACTGATCCCTCATGTTTCCATGCATCAAACATAAAATTTCTCCGCATCAACAATATCCTTTTCCTCCACCAACGCCATGCTAGTTGTGGTAGTAGTAGCAAAATGAGAAAGACCGAGACGAAAACCAGATGATGAGACCAACAGCAGCCGTAAGTGTCGTCGTCGTGAAAGCATCCAACGCTAGACAAATGCCCTTCCACTTCTCCCCGTCCCTCCACTATCTTCTCGTCGCACGTGCGAATCATAAAGATCATCTTCGTCATCATCATCAAAATCATCGCGTCGTCTGCGGCCGCCGGCTCCAAGGTCGCCGCTCGTGCTCAAAACTTCCGGGCTCGAGCTCGCGCCAGATGTGACTTGCCATTCGGAACTGTCACTTCTTCGTTCTTGTTCTTCGATTTCTTCTGTGTATACTGGTAGAGCTTTGTGAGAGTCGCCATGTACTAGGCCCAATCGTTCTTCTTCTGTCTCGGCGCGAGCTCTTGGGTATTCTCGACTTTGACTGCCTCGGCTTGTGAAGGATAAGGCGCCTCTGCTAATGGGCCTGGGTCCGTCGGTGGCGCCTGATTCGGCTCTATTGCGAGAGAAAACGTTCTGGAATGAGAACGAGCGACTCGCAGCAGTACCAGGTCGATTACCGCTGCCATGCGGAGGCGGTCGCGGAGGCGCAAGACTGCTAGATTGCGAATCCGCCCGGTCTCGTTCGCTGACTTGGTCAGAGAAGTGTATATGCGAGCCGCTTCCGGCTCCCTTATACTCGGTGTCGTCATCGTCGTGGCCGTCCACTTGTCGCTGACTCCCAGGTCGTGTGTAAACATGCTCTCGCGCTCCTTGCTTGTCGTTCGCCACGTTGTCGAGAGCCACAGGGCTATGTCCTCGCTCCCGTCGTTGAGTAATCGTTCTGCCTATGCGACCGAAAAAGCCCGGGTGCACTTCACTTTCAGGTTCGCTAACATCGTCTGGGAATTGTGACATGCCAAGAGGAGGATGTGCAGTTCTGGGCCGATGTATTGACCCGCCCTGCGTGGAGACGGTCTTTCTTCGTCGCAGTCCATCCCACTCCACGATCTCGTTCTCGCCAATGGGTTCCATGCGCTCCTCGTGGATTCGCTTCGCTTCGTCGGCTTCTCTCTTCGTCCTCGCCTTACTCAGAGCTCGGATGATTCCAGCACCACCACGAATAGTGTCTGCGCGAGGCTCATACTCTGGTTCCTCTACCTCGGCTGCGGCTCTGATTTGATCCATGTCGCTGGTCAGAATCTTCGTTTCAGGTACTTCCTTGGCCGATTTTGCCAATTGTAGCAACACGACGCCCGAACAGATGGTGAGGAAACCCATGACCACATCAATGATCTGGTTGGTCGTGCCATGAAAGCCACGGAACAACACGGCCGATGTGATTATGGTCGACGACGTGAAGTAGACGTAGTAGGTAGGCGTGACTAGTGCTGCATTGAAGATGTTCAAAGCTTTCTGGTCTGTTGTCAGCAGCAGTTCCTGTCGGCAAGGTAATGATTAACTTACATTGAGATAAATGATCTCGGTCAGGAGCGTGCAGATGACGAAGACGAGCAGCACATATGTGAACCACTTGTTGAACTGTTGTTCACCCCCGATGGCCGCAATAATGGTTGCTCCAAGGCCTTGAGTCGCCACCACACTCAGGCCGCCGATCAAGCTGCAGATGGTGAGGTAGACCATCATGCTCTTCTTCCCGTATTTTGGTGCCACGAAGAAGGCGACGCACGCGCAACCGACAAGGATGACTCCAGCGAAAACAAGAAATCCTGGGGCGATCACGTAGCTCTGCATCTCCTGAATGTTGGACACAGCCGATTGCTCTGGCGCATTAAGCGTGATGACAACGGATCCAACGATACAGAGGAAACAGGCGACCCAACCCACGAAGCTCAGGCGCTCTTTCAAAATCCACCAAGACAGAACAGCACACACAACGACGGATATGGCGCCCAGTGGAGTGACCAAGATGGCGTCTGTGAAGGCATAGGCGACAAAGTTGCAAATCTCGCCGACGATCATCAAAGTCATGCCCAACCACCACCAGGCATTTTTGAGATATCCATAGCCCTCGCCCGCTTCCTCTTGGTATTTGACATTAGCTTTCAGCAAGCCCACCTTCTTGATAACAAAGGAGCTGCCGATGAACAGGCCAGATGCCACGGCGAGCACAATGCCCACAATCTTGTAGAAGCCGGGCCTGGGCGTCTTTTCTGCAGCTGCCATAGATGTAGCCGTTGCCGAACTCGTACCCGTTGCGGTGTCTGTCGTCTCGGTGGCCTGGCGCAGGACGAGGTCGGCGGCGTGGAAGAGAACATGGCCGGCGGCGTCCATGGCGGCACGGCGATGGCAGCCGCAGTGAGGAAATGTCCACGCGCTCGCTACAGCGTGCAGCGAGAATCCGCCCACATGTGCGCTCCTGCTTGCGATCGTTCTATGCGCCTTCTCTTGCCCTGCTCAACGTCGCTGCAGCTGTCCTTCCCAGGGCCGTGGCTTGTGTTCTATTCTCGAGCTCGATCGATGCGGTGCGATGCGGAATCGTGGAAGCAAGAAGGAACGATACAACCTCGTCACTCGTTCCGTGGTAACAGCGAGCGACAAGGGAAGGATATACAAGAAGCGAAGCAATGCTGGGGGTGCGACGGTGCGAGAAGAGACAGCGATAAGCAATGTTTACCTCTGTTTCTCGCACGTCGCTAAGAAAGCCAGACGGTCGTGCAACTGCCCGCGCCTAGACCACCCACCCATCCCTGCAAATGTGGCTGAGGTAAGAGCGACACGCAACGCAGCTGCCCACTCCATGCCCACCTCGCATCCGGCAATGGCGCGATCCGAGCAGTGGCAGTGGCAGTGGCAGTCGTGACATCGAATCGTTCGTCTGCAGTGCGGTTGAACATCGTAGCCGCTGGCGAGCTCAGATGTACAGACTCTACCGCCGCAACTGTCCAGCGACTGCGCCACAAGTCGTGTCCCACGCACGCGAAGACGCCCCGCTAGTGTTTCACAGGGCTCGCGTTTCTGCTGTCGGACATCGGAGCGAAGCACACCACTGTCACGACTTCCCACCTTCCAAGACATGCCTCTCCTCACCAATGGCCACGCGAATGGCGACACGCCGACTGTCCACACTGCAGGCTCGGCCGATGACATTCGTGCAGCCCTGCAGGAATTGTCCCAACGAGAAGCTGCTGTGACCTCCCGTTTGGACACCTTGCTCAATTCTCAAAAAGACCTCAATCGCCAACTGAGCCGTCTGGACCTTGCACGTGCTCAATTGGGCTCCCAAGTCGTTGCCACCAGGAACGTCAGCAATGACATGCTTTCGAATGCAGCTTCGACCGCCCACCGAATATCAGGAGCGGTCAAAAAGCTCGACCAGGAACAAGCCGCCGTGAAAGCCACGCTGGAAGTGGTAGAGCAAGTAGCCGAGCTGAAAGCATGTGTTCTTGGCGTGCATGGCTCTATGGGAGCTCCTCAGGACTGGGAGACTGCGGCCGACTATCTCCATCGTGCCTTCAAGATCCCAGATTCTGTCATTGATGGCGCCTTCGCCGAGGAGATCGTACCCACAGCAGAAGTGCCTGATCCGCCGCGGGTGACTCTAAACAATGCGGCCGAGAGCTTAAAGGGTCTCTTCATGCGGGAGTTCGAGAAAGCAGAGGCCGATGGAGATGGTGCACGAATTACACGCTTCTTCAAGTTGTTTCCCCTGATCGGGCGGAGTGACGTTGGTCTGGAGGCATACGGCCGCTATGTGTGCACTGGAATTGCAAATCGCGCCCGCGGTAACATGAGCTCGACGCGCGGGAGAGATGGCATGTTTTATGCGCAAGCTCTGACCAAATTATTCGAGCACATTGCCCAGATTGTCGAAGGCCATCAACCGCTCGTCGAACGTCATTATGGTCCCGGAAGCATGACCAAAGTGATTGAGCGAATCCAAATGGAGGCTGATAGGCAAGGAGGCCTTGTGCTGGACAGCTGGTCAGAGGATCGACGAGTACATCGCCGCCTCACTGAGATCAAGAGCTACCCATTCAATTTCTTCGTACAAAGCTTTCTGCCATCGCAAAAGCCTAGTCTACCCACGCGGACTGGCTCACCGGCCCCAGGCTCGGGCCGTACCAGTGAAGATGACAGCGTGGACATGAAGGAGATTGATGCGCTACTGAATGAAAGTGCAATCATGCTCAGTCGCTGGTCGCTGTACACTCGCTTCTTGGCAGGCAAGACAAGCGCTCACGACCAAAATCGGGACGATGACCTACACCTGCCCAGCTTTCTGGTCCACAGCACACTTCAGAGGAAAATCACAGACCTTCTCATTGATCCATTCAATGCCATGGCCACTTTTTTCTTCCGGCGTTCGGTCGAGAAATCGTTCCAAATCGATGAACCTCCTTCCGATCTGACGCTCAATCCGAATAAGCAACTCGGATCGAGCCCGCCTTTCATCACGTCAGCCGTGGATGACATTATGTACATTGTTGATCAGGTTCTCAAACGCACACTTTCGACTTCGCAGCTCGGCATTGTACGAAACGTGATACCAGCTGTGGGTAGAGTGCTCGGCACCGACTTTTTTGGTATGGAGCAGCGCAAGATGCGCGACGAAAGCTATCCCAAGGCAGCGATACAAGGAGCACTACCTCCTGAGAATCTGATCATATCCTTCCTCGTTCTCATCAATAACCTCGATGTTGCCACCGACTATGTTCGCAGGATCATTCGGACATGCCTTGGTCAAGCTTCCGGAGATCAACAAACACAGAATGAGGATGACTCAGCGCTGCTAGATACATTTCCTTTTGGCAAAGAGGCTGAAGGTGCTGAGGCTGTCTTGCGGGCAATGGAGAAGAACTTCGCTGAGAAGACTGCTGTTCTCCTGAACGAAGCGATCGAGGTAATGCTCAAGCAGGTCATGAGGCCACGTCTACGAGCAGTCTTCACCGAGACGTTCAAGAACATCGAGTACGACGAAGACGATGCAGCAGGCGATGACGCCTCATCAGATGATCTTGTTGCACAACGCTTCGAACGAGGCTGGCAGGCGTTCACGCTTCCCATCAAACGCATCGCAACGCCTCCTGTGTACGACAAGCTGATCACAGCAACCATCACACACCTGGCCCGCACGCTGGAGAAGAGAATCTGGTCTTACTATGGCCGAGTCAACGAGTTGGGCGCAGTTCGATTGGAAAGGGACGTGGCAGCAATGGTCGCTATAGCTGTCAAAGGTGGCAAGTATGAACTGCGTGACGCCTTTGCTCGTTGTACACAGATGACGCTCATCATGAACATGGAAGATGATGAATGGGACGAGATCTCCAAACTGACCGGAATACAACTGGAAAGGGAAACTGGCATTGATTGGAAGCTCGATGCTGATGAGAGGAGAAGAGTCCGCGCAATCATCAAGGATCGCCCCTAGTCATGGAGCTTTGTATCCCTGAAGCGCATTCTCAGCATATGTCGCCTACGACCACTGATGTCCCATTACCAAGGCGACATGCGTCCGCACGTGTATCAGAGACCCATCGGGTTGTGCCGTTTGTCTCGGCGAGGCATAACACCATCCCGAGGCAGATTTCATGATTGGCTGTGGGGAAATGCTTGGTGCTCAGATCACCTGCCGCAAAGGCTCTAGGTGACTTGGCGCCAGGATGATCACCACAGCTTCTGTCGCACTGAAGACTTTACTCGAAGCCACAAGACTGCAGCTACTTTGCCCGTTCGCCAATAGAGCTGTGAGGATGGCGAGATTTTCCGCGTCAAGGATGGCGCCTTGAAACTTCCATACGATTGTCTATCCTTGGCGCATATGCTTGGGGTACTATCAGCTGCACACTTGTCAATCGTAGCTCAAAAGGGTAGGAGACAAGAAACAGTGCGGTTCACGAGAGGTCCATCATCTTGCGCCGGTCGGCCAGCTGCCAATCTTCGACAGCTTACCGATCAGAGAGACGATGTCACCTTCGCGTCGGCGAGCGCGAAGGACTATAAGGACACAGCCTCGCCCTAGCAGTTCAGGTAGGAGATCTCGTGCCCGAACATCATTTCCTGGCCACGATGTTTGTTCTTCGATTACTCTCGCTCGCGCCACTGGCGTTGGCCTCCGTCCTTCCTCGTCAAGAGGCTGTCAACTATGATGGCTACAGAGTCTATCGCGTCGCGACTGCTGGTCAAGATGCGGCTGTTCTCGACGCTCTATCAGCCCTCGATTACGAGCAGTGGGCCCACAAGGCTTCCGACTACATCGATCTTTCCGTCGCCAGCGATCAGGTCGAGACATTCGAGGCTCTCGGTCTGAATTATCAAGTCATGCACGCCGATCTTGGTGCCGACATTGCAGAGGAGGCTCAGAGCATGGCCGCTCCTGTTAAGCGACAGGCTGGAAATCAAGGTCCAGGTTCGACTTGGTTCAATGCATACCACTCATATGCCGACCACGTTCAATACTGGCGCGATCTCGTTGCGGGCTTTCCCAACAACGCCCAGCGATTTACCGCTGGCTCTTCCTTCGAGAACCGCGAGATTTTCGGAGTCAAGCTGTTCGGCAACGGCACCTCCACCAACAAGCCAGCTTTGGTCTGGCACGGCACAGTCCACGCTCGCGAATGGATCAGCACGATGACTGTCGAGTTCCTTGCCGCCAGCATTGTTGATGGCTACAAGAAGGGCAACCCAGAGTTCACTGCCATTCTGAACAAGTACGACATCTACATCCTGCCTGTCGTCAACCCCGATGGATTTGTCTACTCGCAGCGCCTTGATAGACTGTAAGTCAACAAATTGAGTTATTCAAAGTGCAGAAAACTGACATAAATACAGGTGGCGCAAGAACCGAGCACCGGGACCTTCAGTCCTCGGCCGTGTCTGCTACGGTACCGACATCAACCGCAACTGGCCATACCAGTGGACTGGTGACCCGAACGGAGCCTCCACCGACCCTTGCGCTCAGACCTACAAGGGAAGATCTGCTGGTGATACTCCAGAGATGAAGGCACTTACCGCTCAATTGAAGACCGTCACCGATCGCCAAAACCTCGTGCAATACATCGACTTCCACAGCTACGGCAACTACCTCCTCTCTCCTTACGGCTACACTCCAAACGTGCCAGCCAACTCTGCGGCACAGGTGTCTCTGGCGAGACGCGCTGCCGCCGCCATCACCGCTGTGTACGGTACTGGATACACCACTGGACCTTCCGGAGCGACCCTTTACCCCACTACTGGTAGCAGTACCGATTACGCTCATGATATTGCTGGTGCGGACTACTCGTACACATTCGAGCTTCGCGACAAGGGCCAGTTTGGTTTCTTGCTGCCCGCAAACCAGATTCGACCTACTGGTGAGGAAGTCTTGGCTGGTATCAAGGTTTTGATCGCAGGTATCTAGATGCAAGAGCTCACAAGCTCGCGTTTGGTCTGAGAAGACATTATATATAATGATGAATGAGAGAATCAATATTATTATGAGTTCAACATACTTTACACAACTTCTCGTGGCTGAGGTGCGATGGCTTCGACGAGCATGAGGCACGATGGTAGGCGGAGCCAGTGGTGTTCCGGAAGACAGCGGAACACTCGATAGCCCGTTCCAGAGTCGAAGCCGGCTTGACAACAAAGATTCGGCGCTTCCAGTCCTCGTTTCAGCGTATTAATTGTCTGACATTCGTGGAAGCTCTCATCGAAAACTTGGTATCGTATAGTGTGCGGGACGCGATATATTGGAGACCTGGTTAAAGAAACGCTTGTCATTGGTTCAGCGCAGATGAGTGCCGAGGCGGAGCTAAGCAACAAGGATGACACGTGCGGTGTGGAGGAAGAGCCAGTGGCACGATTGCAATACTGAGTGAAATACTAAGTTAGAGCAGTGCAGGATTACAATGGTTCTTCATCAGTGGGAGCTTTCTCGACTTCGATTCTGTTCTTCTTTGATGTTGTAGTACTGCCTCAACACAGTATTCCCACTCCCGGCCCTCGATAATTTATTCATTTCTCAGGCACGATTTTCATCATGCGGCCATCAACGATTCTACTGGGCATTCTACCCATCATTTGCGACGCTCTGAATATCATCCAAAGCAACGACGACGGCTGGGCAGAAATCAACATTCGCGAAACATACAATTCCCTTTCCGCTGCAGGTTACAATTCCATTATTTCCGCTCCAGCAGAAAATCAAAGCGGGACAGGAAGTCGAGATGAGGAACCAGAGGAAGTAGGAGATGAAGGGTGTCAGTTTGGGTCTTGTCCACCGAATAGTCCTGCTATAGGACGGAATGAAAGTGAGCCGAGGTTTAACGTACGAAACACGCTTCTTCAATGACCTATGAATTAGATGAAACAACATAAGCTAACTTCTTTCTTTCCTTGTCTTGGAACAGTACGTCAACTCCTTCCCCGTAACATCCATCCGCCACGGAATCGAAGTTCTATCTGAAGAATTCTTCTCTGGACCTCCGGAACTTGCGATTACAGGGCCGAATGTGGGATCGAACTTGGGAATTGTAACGCAGTTTTCTGGGACTGTGGGAGCGGCTGTTGAGGCGATTAAACTGGGGATTCCGGCGGTCGCATTTAGTGGGTCGAGTGGGAAGCAGACGGGTTGGAATGTGAATGTGGAGAATTATGTGAGGGTTTATGCGGCTTTGGTGGTGAATGTTACGGAGGCTTTGACGGGTGGAGGGGAAGGGGAGAGGCCGTTTTTGCCGGATGGGGTTTGGTGAGTTGTTTCGATCGATTGTTCTTTCCGACGTTGTTGTGTGTGCTTTTTTGGGGTGGTTTTGAAGTTGAGGCTGACTTTAAACGTTCTAGGCTCAATGTCAATTTCCCGAAAGTCGACAGTCGGTGTCAGTCACCAAGCGACTTCAAGTTTGTGCTTTCGCGAATCTATCCCAAGGTGCCATTTGTTGGCGAAGATGATGTTGAGACTTGCGGATCACACCGCTTGCCAATCGAAAGGAAGGTCGTTGGTACGCCAGGCTGCTATGCTTCGATTAGTGTGGGAGAGGAGAACAAGACTACTGCTCCACGGAGAGCTCAGGCATTCGTTCTGAACAGGCTGAGGCCGATTCTATCCTGCCTGCCTTAAATAGAGAAGTCAGTAGGCGACGAATATTCCGCCGAGCCCTCCACGGAGTCATTCATAATTCCCCTCACTCGTATTCAACTCGACGGCGTCCAAAAAGTGCTGTTTACGGAGATGGCGGGACGTCTGCCTTTGGTGGTCTTGAGTGATTCGATTGGCGTGTTACGATACCTCGTAAGTATAACCGATAGAAGTCATAGTTACTGTAGTCAGCCCACCTAGACGTAGAAATTCCCGAACAGCGGTCTCAATAGCAGAAACTAGACTGTATCCACCCTTACATTTCATGCACTCTCACAATCAGAGGATTGTGAAGTTCTACTTAGTATGTCTGAGCTGTCTGGAAAACGCCGTCTCAAATCTCAGAGCCAATGGTACAATTAAAGCGATCGATCTATCGTTCCACGAGCCGCTTTCTGTGCTACCCTCCAGCACCCAAAACTCCCAGTCCATAACCTCACCACACGACACGTAAGCAGTCGCCATCAGACAAAGCTACTCCCAAGGCCACCTGCAGAACACTCACTAACCACCCCCTACCTTCTGCAGCATGCAAATCCAACACCTCCTCACCCTTTCTAGCCTCAATGCAATCGCCCAGGCTTTCTGCGGTCACATCTATACCGACACAAAACTCGACGGCGGCTGCTCGCAATGGATAACATCTATCATGCAAGGTGACTGCAAAGCTATAGGAGGCCAACCGACCGATTGTATCAACGACGGCGAGGGGAGAAGATATCTGTGGTGCAACAACGTGCCAGATTTTCATGGTCCTTACACTCTCCTCGATCCTTACAGAAGGACTGTAACGATTTATGATCAGGGGCAAATTTGTAAGGTATGTGTGATTGCGGATGCTTTCCGCCCAAAGTATTGCTGCAAGCTCTGTTGAGAATCTTGTTTGGTGACTGATCTTGGTTTTAGTGAGGCGAATTGTCAAAGGTGAGATGATTTGAGAGGATATCGAATGAGCGTTCCTTCTTCTTCTTCTCGAAATACCATCTTGATGGAGAATTGGTGTAAGGACCACACAGGATGGCCATGCAAGCACTCGTGTATTCTTCTCTCATCTCACCCGCGGTCAACAACTGAGCCACCACTTCACTCCACCAAGACCCTCAACCCTCTCGCATCATTCCTTGGCCATGGCGAGAAGTAGTCCCTCCAAGGCTCCACATCCTCGTTCACAGTCTTCCATAGCTTGAAGTCGAAGTTCTCGCTCCCAAAGACTGTTGCAAGAGTCATGTACAATTCCGCCTGGGCCAGGTTCATCCCTAGACAACTTCTCGTTCCCTTACTGTACGGGCTGAACAGTTTTCTTGCGCGATCACTGCCTTCAGTATCGTGTAAGAAGCGCTCGGGTCGGAAAGTGTGAGGATCGGGAAACAGGGCCGGATCGAAAGCTGTGATCCAATTCGACATGCCAACCGGAACCCCAGGAGGAATCGTCCAGTCTTTGTATTGGATTGGACGGACAGGAGAGATCCGGGCAAGGCGATGTCCGACTCCAACGGCGAGACGGTGGCCTTCTTGGATAACAGCGGTAAGGTATGGCAGCTTCTCGAGTGAAGATAAAGGTGGCAAGATGCTGGCGTCAGTGATGGTATCTCGGAGTTCAGCTTGCAGTCTCTGCAGACAGGCAGGGTTGTCGAGTAGATGAAAAGTGGTATTGGTGAGATGAGAAGACGTGGTGAAAGTTCCAGCTCCGATGAAAGTCTGTGCTTCGTTGAGCATGTGCTGGCGATTGTGATCCTTCTCCAGTAGTTCGGGACTGTCCCAAAGCTCGTGGAATATCGTTCGTCGACCATTCTTCTTCAGTTGTCCATGGCTTTTGATGACCTCGTCAACGTCTTCGGCTTGTTTCTGAAAATTGTGGTCAGCAATGGAATCAGAAAAGCTGAGTAAGCGCCATAGCTCACTTCTTGCATTTGAATTATGCCTCCGAAAGACGGGTTCAGTTTGACAACTAGCCACGCAGGAAGTGCTTTCATCGTATAGATGAACCAAGGAAAGAACTTGTTGATGTGAAGCGTTTCGGCGCCTCGAGATATTGCAGAAACCCACCCGGCCATCATGTCTGGGGTGTTCAGTGCCTCGTATGAGTTGCCGTATGAGTAGTCGCTAATGATGTCCATAGTCAAGGCTGTGTAGGCGTGGTCGAGGCGTAGCGATTTCCCTGTTCCTTGGGACTCTTTCACACGTCGACAGAAGTTTTGAATGTGCCCTTGAATAAGAGGCGACAGCTCTGTAACGGCTTTCTTGGAGAAGAACGAATTCACTGGCGCCCTGCGTTTGCGATGTAAATCATGCTCTTTGGCCACAATGAAGCCACTGCTGGTTCCGAACATCCCCAGAGCCCAGGGATACTTTTCCCTCGGTTTAGAAGCACCAGTGTAAAGTTCGTCTTCAAAGTCCGGATCGTGGATATGGAGCTCGTGTGGTGAGATGCGAATGATTGGTCCGTAGCGTTGGTGCATCTCTTTGATTGCGAACGTGTAATCGCCAGACAGGAAGACATCGTAATAGAACTCGTAGGCTCTTGTGAAGGCAGCGATCCTGGGCCCTGGGAAACCTGCCAAAGGATGGAAGTAGAGTCGGTAGAACATGCGCTGCGTTGCCCAAACAAGCAGTAGAGACACTGACACGCTCATTATAATGGAGAAATTTGCTGTAGCATCGTATGTCGCCACCGAAAATGCTCGACCCAAGGCAGTTCCCGTCGATGACCGTGAAGCATGAGAAGAGTGCCATGCTACATTCCAGATCCAGTGTAAGAGGGTAGCCGCCAGAACGCTGTAGAAGAACAACCTAGCCAGGCAAATGATTAGAGCAATGAGTGCCGCACGAGCCGTGTTGTAAGGCATATCTGCTCGTGCGGTGAGTAATGACGGAGATGCACGATATAAGCACAGATCAGCAGCGTAGGAGGTGAGCGAGGGGCACAATGATGGCATTGATGTTACCTATGTAGCATATTATTTGGATCCCTTTCGAAGGTCACACCGTGGTCGCAATCCCATGCAAACCGTACTTGGAGGCCAGTGCAGGCCCCGCTGCGGCTGGAATCGTAATCAGCTGTGATAAGTGGCCAGTTCTCCTACGGGACGGCAAGGCCGTAAGTCCGTACGGCATACCGAATTCACAGACCTGCGAAGGGAGGCGCGCAGGAACACGGCCGTTGTCTGCCCTAAGGGGATGCTGACAGCTGAGATTTAGACTCAGCTGAACGCGGACGGTTGGACGTAATATAATTCCCAGCGAGCGCGTAGCACCGCGATTCAGCAGGCATGCTGACCCGAGACGTGGCGGGCGGTCAAGGGCTCCATCCTAGAGGATCGCATGTGCTATGGCATGCTGTCTGGCAGCGTGTTGGGTAGTGTCAGTGTCCATCTGGTCGATGGTTCTTGAGTTTGACGCTGCGGCTGCCCGGAACCTCTGGTGCGTAGCGGAGGAGCAAAGCGTAATAGCTGGAGGACAGCTCCTATCGAAGAATCTTCTTCTGAGCGTCAAGTGTGGAGCGAAGCGCTGTATAGTGGCACTGGGCGGCACTGAGGAGTTGAGGACGGAGAATTGGCGATGGAGTTGCAGATGTGGTGAAACATGAAGAGTGGAGAAGAAGACCAGCCAGTCAAATTATCGATGACTGCTGAGTCAAATTTTGACGGTCGGTCCCACCTGTGCCACTTTCTGCCCCCGCGATGACGGTGCCTGAGCCCGACCAGGCTGTTGCTGCTGTGCTTCTGGAGCTCTGGACAAACAACCAGCAACCACCAACATTTCTCTTCTTCTTTTTAACACATTCCCATCTAACCGCAGCCATGGACGATCAGTGCCCCCACGTCAAGACCTTCTCACGCCCGCCGCCGCAGCCCAAGGACCCTGTCTACCGCGAAGACTGCACCCTCTGCTTCGATGGCGTCGACGATGCGGCGGGGATCGATGTCTGTTTGCACTGCTTCAACGGAGGCTGCGCAGGCGACCGACGGCACAACAAGCAGCACGCCGACGAAGTCAGCCACCCGCTCGCCGTGAACATCAAGCGCACTCGCAAGCGTAAGCCCGAGCGAGACGATGGCGAATCGCCCGCCAAAATCAGCAAGCTGGAGATCAAGGCCGAGACTGACGCCGATCGATACGAAACCGAGACGAACATTAAATGCTTTCAATGTGACATTGATAACATCGCTCAGGAAGGAAAGGTTGGCGATGTTGTGGCTGGCGTCCTCAAGGCAAACACCTTCGCTCAGCAGGAGGAAGTCAAGGCCTGGGAGCTGGAGTTGACGATTTGTGATCACACTGCTTTCCTCGAGCAAGAGCCCGCGCGAGACATTCCTAGTGGCGATCTGGGTCATTGCGGCGAGTGCGATCTGAAGGAAAATCTGTGGATGTGTTTGACTTGCGGCAACTTGGGCTGTGGGCGACAGCAGTACGGTGGCGCGCCAGGTAATAGCCACCAAGTCGGACATGCCAACAGCACGAAGCACCATGTGGCAGTCAAACTGGGCTCCATCTCCGCAGATGGAAGTGCCGACATCTACTGCTATTCTTGCGACGAGGAACGCAAAGACCCTAAGCTGGTCGAGCATCTTGCTCACTGGGGAGTGAACATTGCAGATCGAGAGAAGACGGAACAGAGTTTGGGCGAGATGAATCTCATGTACAACCTGAGCTACGACTTTTCCATGATAGACGCCGATGGCCGACAGCTGAAGCCAATGTTCGGGAAGGGATACACAGGATTGAGGAACCTGGGCAATAGCTGCTATCTCAACTCAGTCCTGCAAGCGTTGTTTGCAACGCCCGAATTTGCAAAGCGTTACTACAGACCAGATGAGAGAATCCAGTTGGGGCCAACATTCAACCCTGCTGAGGATCTCGAATCACAGCTGCGCAAGCTTGCCGACGGTCTCCTATCTGGACGCTACAGCAGACCTGATATTGACGTCCAGCAACCTGAAAATGAGGATGAGAAGCCTCACCAGAAAGGCATTGGTCCCAGTATGCTCAAGCAAATTGTCGGCAAGGGACATGCAGAGTTCAGCAGCATGCGACAGCAGGATTCCTTTGAGCTCCTTTTGCATCTCCTCAAGCTGGTTTCTCGATCACAAGCGACCGCGAAGAATAGTGGCTTCGCACACATCTACGACCCAGTCGATGCCTTCCGCTTTCACATGGAGCAGAAGCTGCAATGCCTAAGCTGCAAGAAGGTCAAATACCGCTTGGACGAGATGGAAAACATCAGCGTTGCTGTTCCCATCAAGCGCAAGCCCAAGAGCGATTCCGCCCCAGTGACGAACGGTGGAGATACGCCAATGACCGATGGCGACAAGGTTCCCGAAAAGGAAGAGTTCGAGACTGTGACCTTGAAGCAATGCTTGGATGACTTCACAGCGCCAGAGGTGGTTGATTTGGAATGCTCAGGTTGCAAGAATAAGGGCTTCACGAAACAGTCACTCTTCAAGACCTTCCCAGTTATCCTCGCAGTCAACGCTCGGCGGTTTGAAATCGTCAACTGGGTTCCGATGAAGCAAGATGTACCTGTTATCGTGGGCGATGATGTCTATGACATGGAGGCATATCGCAGCAAGGGCAAGCAGCCTGGCGAGGAGGAACTGTCGGACGACCAGGACGCCGATGCGGGTGCAAGCAACAAGTTCCAGCCAAACGAAGTCGCACTTGAGATGTTGATGAACATGGGCTTTCCGAAGATACGTTGTGAGAAAGCTTTGCGGGCTACCGGCAACGCGGACCCAGATGCCGCGGCTGGCTGGCTGTTTGAACACATGGAAGATCCCGACATCGATGAGCCCATTGAAGAACCCACCGCAGCTGCTGGTGGATCTTCATCAGCTGTCGACCCCGATAAGATCGAGAATCTGGGTAACATGGGCTTTTCCGCGCCACAAGCTCGACAAGCACTTAAGGAGACGGGTGGCGATATGGAGCGCGCCGTGGACTGGTTGTTCAGTCACCCTGAAGCGACGGGCGACTTTGGCGATGATGCTGCTCCAGAGAGCGCTTCTGCGCCTGCTGCCATTCCTGAAGATACCAAGCCTGCCAAGTTCTCCCTCTCGAGCATCGTTTGTCACAAGGGCAGCTCGATTCACGCCGGCCACTATGTTGCTTTCGTCAAGAAGCTGGCGGGGTGGACATTGTTCAACGATGAGAAGGTCGCACTGGGTGGCGACGTGGAGGAGATGAAGAAGTTTGCTTACATTTACTTTTTCCGGCGTGAGGGCGAGGAAGCCTAGGTGGCAAAAGTTACTGGGACTTAGCAGGGCGTCAGGCAATGGTTTGGTCGCCCGGGTGGGCCACAATGGAGTGTGGATCAAAGAGGACATATCGCATACTGGCAGTGGCCCAGGGTTGGGGAACCACTGAGACGAACGAGATGACAGGTTGAGCTTCACGCTTATGATGAGTGATATGAGATGCATGATCGGCGGCTATAGAGTAGATCTGCTATTGATGGAAGAGGGAAAACGATGTAGAGAGGCTATTGCAGAAATAGCAGGGTGAACGGTGTAACAATAGAGCAGCAGAAAGGCCCAACGCTTATTGCCGTCTGCCACGTCGGCAGATCAGACCAGCGTCTCCTCTGCCCACGGGACCGTGTCATTAAAATAAGGTAGCATTGCATTTTCAAGCGTCTCGAAACCACAAAAGTGTTTTACAGGAAGAGTATAGCATATCAATTGAGGGTATAACATCGAACTACGCCTTGCACGCATCAAAGCACGCAACATCCCCAACTTCACAAACATCGAATCCTGTCAACAACACCAATCATCATCCCATCGATGGCATGCTCAGGACCACTTCCATCCTTCGCATCCCTTTTAACCAACTCTTCAAACAACCGACCTCGTCCTCACAACATCCACCTCAGTCTCCACCACAACCTCCAAATTCCCCTTCCATAAAGTCTTCTCCCTCTCTTCAGCCACCTTCTTCGCAAACTTGCTCTTCTCTCTAACCGTCTTCGCCACAAACCTCGTCGCAACAGCCAATCCGCAGAAACCCGTCGCAATACCAGCCAAAACCCAAACAGCGCGATGAGGACCCAAAGCATCAAATTCCTTCGCAGCGAACAGAGGGAAAATACCCGCTAGAAGAGCGCGGATGGCGTGAAGTGGAGCATTTGCGGAAGCTGTGTGGTGGGAGTACACTTCTGTGAGGTAGAGTGGTAGAATGCTGTTGAATTCCACGAGGCAGTATCCGATCAATAGGAGAGGAACGATGGAGAGCCAGGCGGAGGGATTACTGGATCCGAAGACGGGGTTCGGGACTGTGAAAGAGAACCACCAGAGTGCCAGGACGAAGATTGGGGAGGCGATGAAGCTGTAACTCCAGAGCTTCTTTTCGGGTTCTGGTGCCGTAGGGTTCGGGCTTGTGGAGGATCGGATGGGTCGGAAGGCGTGGTGGCGGTGGATGTCGTAGACGCGCGGGAGCCAGGAGAAGAGGAGTGCGCCGAGGGCCAGGGCGAGGAAGGTGAGAGAGGAGGTTTGAGGGGAGAGGTCGAATTGGGATGTGTAGACGATGGGGACAGTTTCGGTGAAGAGTGTTGTAAGGCCGAAGGAGAATGCCGCAAGGAGGGTGGAGAGCAGGATGAGGGGCTCGGTAGTGGAGAGTTTGAGGCTGGAGAAGATGCCTTGTTAGCGGAAATCGCTTTGTTGATGTGCATGGAGGGTCGTTGACTCACGGGAGAAGCAACTGATGCTGCGCAAATTCGGCATAGGATGGGATACGATGACTTTCGTCCAGACGCAGCCCGCCAAATCCAGTAGCCTTCTCGATTTGGCGGACTTCTTGATGTAGCAAGAGGTTCGGCTGGGTTTCTGTCATCAAGAAGCAGAAGATGCCAATGACGACGTTGGCAATGAGTCCCCCATAATAGACCCATTCCCTGATATCATCCTTCCAGTTAGCAAGAAGCGCGATCAAACATCATTGTTCTGTTTGAATGGACACGACTCACCATCCTGCGCCCGTCTCACTCACATGAGACCCCATCACAGGCCCCAACGCAAATCCCAAAACTCCACTGACTGCCCAGACCGAGAGAAGCCAGATTCTGCCCTTTGCGTTCCACAGATGCTCGAAAGTGCCTAGAGCAGCGACACTCGGTACAGCCGCCACCATGCCTGAAAGGAATCTCCCCAGTAGCACAGACCACAAATTTGGTCCAGTCGCGACGATCAAACAAGTCGTACCAAAGCATGCTGCAGCCCAGGAGAACAATCGTTTATCGCCAAAGACCTCGCTCACGGGCGGGAAGATGAATGATCCCAGAGCTTGGCCAATCCAGTACATTGTGACAAACGAGAAAATGGAGAGAGTCTGGCTGATCTCCAAGTCTTCCTTGGCATAGTTCGCGACTGTAGAGCCCGTGTTTCCGAACAGCGAGGAAGCAAAATGAGCAAGGCAGATTCCGGCCGTATAGTAAATTTTCTGCTTCGAGGTCCAGTTTCGTGGAAGAGATATGCTGTCTTGTCTCCAGGAGATGATGCTGTGCTCGTCGACGTCGAGTTGTTTTGCGTTGAGCAGATCAAGCACAGGTTGTGGAAGGTGGTTTTGACGGGGTTTCAAGTCGACATTGCTGAGGAATGAAGTCACGGACGATGCTCTCGACCGAGGAGGCGTGGCGAAGCAGTTGACGAGTTGGCTCTCGCTGTCGCGGCCGCCATCGAGAGATCGGCGGAATTTCTGATCGTCGTCTGGAACCTCGAGGTGGTCTGGTGAGGAGGGCATGGTTGTACAGGTTTACTACCCTGTGAACGAGGTGACTAGCATGAATGAATGAGGAGGATGGACAGCAGACGATCGAATTAGCAGCGCCTCGGGCGGCTGCAATTTAGTTGTCGCCCAAGACTACAGATTGAGGCGCAGAGGTATCGCGTTGCATCACATTCGCCGTTACTGCTTGGGGTGGGTTGAAAGCTCCGAGCGATCTATGCACCGAAATGGAAGCATAGTGCAGAACGGCTTCTCATTCGGGCCAAGGTCGATCTGGAGCTGACCTTCGTGACGAATCGCAGATCACCCATGCTGAAGATCTCGTTGTTCTGTGGGCGAAAGATGAGGCATTCTGATCAGTGCTGGTTGCTATAGTTGTCGGCAACTTGGCACAGCCTTAGAACGCGTTGTGTCGACGTGCCGGAGAGAGGAGACGCGATACCGGTGTTTTGCCGGGAGCTGTATACGCCGAAGGTCACATTGCATAGCAAATGGGCCGTTTCGTCTTCGTCCACGCCGTTGAATAGCAGAGTCACATCAACGCTGCCCTGATCGTGATTGTGACTCGCAAATTTCGGTCAGAGATTGCAGCTAGTACTTGAAGTCGCCCGTGATTTGGGACCGTCCACGAAGACGAAGCCGATTCAAAGCAATTCGCAGTTCGCAATGCATTGTCCGGAATAAGTGATGACGCCGGAGGGCGGCTGAGGCAAGAAGTAGAGTAGTTCTGGTATACATACACAGTATAGCAGCATGCTCGCTCATGACCAGCTTGTTAAAGCCATGCTTTTCCCCATCACCGATTTTACTTTGTACACTCCCTAGTTCTCTGTCCATTGTACGCTCATCGCCCGGCTTTCTTCTCGTCGCTTGTTTGCGAGAGATTCAGGCCAAGGCCGTTAGTGTCCAGATAGACCTTGTTCTGCGATTTCTCAAGGATTGCAGCCACATTCCTGGCATTCTCAAACTCTCGCAGATCCACATATGATCGACTCTTTTTGATGGCATCACCAATCAGTTCCGCAGAGCGTGCCTCACCCTGTGCGCGAACAACAGTGGCCTGCTTCTCCTGTCTGGCCTTGTCGACAACGAAGGCAGCTCGTTGTGCTTCTTGCTGAGCGACTTGCTTCGCTTCGACGGCGGCAGTGAACTCGGGCGAGAAAGCAAGGTGCTACGATAGTCAGCATGCAACTTCCTCAGACTCACATCAATGTTTGCTCACCGTCAGCGAGACATCGTCCAGCATAATATTAAATCGTGCTGCTCTCCTGACCAAGTTGTCCCGTACCAATCTACTGACGTTCTCACGCTGTGTGATGAGCTGAGATGCATTGAATTGCGCCACGACGCTCTTCAGCACCTCGTTCACGATACTCGGTAGCACGCGCTCATCGTAATCTGTACCCAGCGTCCTGTAGATTTGCGGCAGCGCATCGATTCGCGGTCGTGAAAGCACACGACATGTGATATTGACCATTTGCAAGTCCTTGGTGCCGGTCAAGGAGGCGACGTTTCTCGGTTTGGCGCGGACATCGTAGTCGACGGGCGTCTCGAACCAGGGAATGCGGACGTGTGTTCCTTCGCTGTAGATTTCCTTTCCGACACCGCCTATCCTCGTGTACTTGATCGCGCGATGACCACCCTCCACTGCATACCATTAGCGAATATCCCATCTGTCCCGTGTTCCGCAGTACGGCCTACCGTTGAAGAGGGCATTGTTGAAGAACCACGCGCCACCGCCCAGCAGCAATAGTCCGCCGATGCCCGTCAGCGCTCCCTTAGGTCCAGGTCCACCTGGAGCACCACCGCCGAATCTGTGCAATCGTCAGCCGATATCCCATCTTCGCTACTGTTCGCCTCTTCCGCACTTCTTGCCCTGCTGCTGCACTCGTTGCATGTTCTTCTGCAGCGCCTCCCACATTTGTCGCGGATCGTTGGCCATGATGGCGGTAGCGGCTCGTCCGATTCGCGTCAATTAGGTGATGGATGGCAAAGAGGGAGTGTCGTGGTGGGTGCTCGATGACCTCGACATCGACCAACGTCGACATGGCTCTTTCCGCGCTAAGCTTCGAAGCTCGGACATGGTTGTGCGGAGGTGACTAAGCGTGCATACATCTTCAAAACAGCACTCGCTGCTCTACCTTCCATTCTGTTTTACAAGATTTTGCTACATAGTACAATATTCGGGACGATCTGCTCGTGGTTTCTATCGCCGCTGAAAGTCAGCTCCGCCAGTGAGGTTCTCATCCGACCCTGAAACCAAGCCAGATCTCTCCGCAAATTGCATCTCTTCGCCATCCGGAGAGATGATTTTCAATCCCTTCATCGACCTTTGGAGTCTGCCCGGCTGGTAGACCAACAACAAGCACACCGCAACGAAGATGGGCACTGCCTCGAACAAATAGGCAAACACCTCGTGGCTCGCCACAAACCCAGCCCCTCCTTGTGCATGCTTGATACCAACGACCAGATTACGCAACACTATGCAAACGCTCCCCGCCAATAGTGCAAGAATGAAGCGCTTCCATTTCAAGCCATCTGCTCCAGCCTGCTGTCTGCATCTCTGGAAAAACAGGCAAACGATCCAGATGAAAGCCACAAACACCACGATTTGGAAAACCAGCCCGACCACGACCACTTTTTGACCAATATCCTGTATTTTGCTGTCGATCGTGATCGTCATGCCTGTGCCAGAAAGTTGCACTAAGAAGCAGACCACGTCTCCAAGGACGAAGATCTTGCTCAGCCATCGAGGCCTGATGGGCGAGAGCTCGGCAGCGTCGAGAGTTGTCACGATCCTGCTTATGGACATATACATCGTCGCTGCGAGGAAAATCGGTGCTGGCAAGACAAGCAAGTCGTAGAGGACGTAAGCTCTGAAGTCGTAAGGTGATTGCGAGAGCCAAAATCGGCCATAATAACCACACGTCTCCACTGGAAGCGTATGTCAGCACTGATTATTGCAGTGTTCGAAGTGAGATGAGCATGTTTAAACTTACTGATACAACCCATCACGAAAGGAATGAAGTACCAGGTCTTCAGCCAGCACATCTGGAAAAAAATGGCCCAGTGTGCATATACCGAATGCCGCGATGAAAACGATGGCCGCCGGACCATTGGGAGGACCTGAAGCGAGACCAAACCATCGTGTGCCGTCTGTTTGGGCATCCATCCTGAGGCCCGGAGGGTTGATGAGATTGGCAGGGTGTCTTCAATGGTCCTCCGAGATGCAATATTGAGCGAGTGTAACGGCGCAATGCAACAAAAGATAGCCCAGGTATGTGAGCAGAAGCCAATGCTTCCACCGCTTCTATATTTTATGCATGCTCCATTGATGCCTTGAAAACATGTTTCTGATCTCGAATAAGGCATCTCGCGCTTCGAATGGGGGCATTTCGGCATTCTAATTCTGACAGCCACATACCGCAGCTGAGCGGTCTCTCCGCCGCTGGGAAGACTGCATATCTGGTGCGAGCGACAGGCAGCAATCGACGTCCTCGTATTCGTTGCGGCTCTGCTTTGATTCGTCGAATTCTCTCGCAACAGCCCCACACTTTCGCAACTCCAGCTCACAGCCGAGAACGACACGACATGCATTTCATCAAACAATGCGGACCGGCGTATCGCCCAGGAACAGAGCACAATGTCAGACGCTTCACCCCATAAGACGGTCTTAGCCAGACAGACACATCGGAAGAGCAGATTTGGCTGCTTACAATGCAAGAGGCGAAGAGTGAAGGTGCGTTCCGTCTTTCTTGTCTCTTTCGTACTCGGTTCCAGAGGGTCCACGGATTGTGCTGCTCCCACATGCCATGGGAAGGGCCCGATGCATAATCGAATGGCTTTCGCCACGCCGCCAAGGGGACGAGCGATACAACAACTGTTTTCCTCGCGAGGATGATTGCATCTCTTCCCCTTCAGCATTTCCCCGGAGCTCAAAGACATTGCACTCCACTTTCCTGCCGGCCAGCAGCCTCTGTCTTCAAACTGGTGCTAAACTGCGTGCACCTGTATTACGAGTATGGAAGATCAACGTCCGGAATCTCAAGAAAGCCCAACCAGCTACGCTGCCGAAATGGAAGACGATAACAGCAACATATTGTCCAGCCGCATCAAGTCACTAATATGGATGTTTCAACAGTGCGGAGAGGAAAAGCCTGCCTGCAACAACTGTGCACGGCGACACATGCCATGCAGCTATACCTCATCATATCCAGCTTCGAAGGCTTCTCCAGCGACCGGCAACAACGACGTTGACTCTACGCCTTCACATTCGATCACGTCCTTTAACAACAGCGCTGCCTCTTCTCCTGTCATCATCGACGATCTTGCAACTTCGTCCTTGGATCCAAGCAGATCGACAGCTTCGCTGCCATTCGACTTGTTCGATCTCGAGCTATGGAACCACTGGACGACCATACTCCGTTACAGCCTAACGGAAGATGACAACGGCGACATAGCTTGGAGTCAAAACATCAGTCAGCTGGCATTTGCGCAAACTTACATTGCACAACTCATACTTGCACTCTCTGCACTACATCTGTCGAGAACAAATGAGTCCCGGAAGTTAGAGTGCATCGCAAGGTCTAATTTCCTGCAGAGTAATGCAATCGGCGGAATGATGAGCGTTATGGAAAGTGGAAACGTGAATTCAAACCCCAATGGGCTGTATGTTGCAGCCTGCTTTCTAGTCTTTTGTAGCTTCGGCAAAGGACCTCAACCCGGACAATATCTGGTCTACAGCGATGAAGGCGAGCCGGAATGGCTTGGGCTACTGCAGGGTGTGAAGTCAATACTCTCGGAGCATCGACGCGCCATCTTTCCCGACAATGCGCCAACCGAGAAACCCAAGGGACCCGATCAAGAAAAGAACGAGGACTGTATCGATCCCGAACAAGTCTTTCCTGGATACGGAGAACAGTTCGCCGCTATGCGCTTATCGATGGAAACATTTGAGGCGGAGGATAGCTCCTTCAGCAAGTATCTCCGTACCTTGGATGATTTGAAGGACTGCTACTCTGCAATTTTCCAAAAGGACACCTCGAAGCAGAATACTGCTGTTCTAGCACCATGTCAACATACGAAACGTGGCACAAATATGCAAGTCTCTTCGGTCCGTGTGAAAGATCATCCAGACATCAAAATCATTTCTCATCACATCTTCGGATGGATTTTCCGCTGCAACCAGGACTATCTGTCTTCTGTTCAGACACGACGACCGATGGCGCTGGTCCTTCTCGCCCATCACTGCGTTCTTCTTGCTCTGTTGAAGGACATTTGGTACATGGACGGCTGGGTTCCGCATATCGTCGAAGCGATCAAGAGGGATCTGCATCCTAGTTATCAGCATTGGTTGGATTGGCCGTTGCGGCATTTGGATCATGTTTACATTCCGTCAACGGAGTAATGAGGAGAACAGCAGACTAATGAGAAAGAAACATCAGGCCTGCAGGGCGCGACGCAAATCTCATGTACCGCTTTCCGATACCGAGCACTGAGTTCAACGCGTTACAGACATTGCTTCGTTTCATTCCAACCAGCAGAGAACCTTCCTCCTACTGCCACAAGCACAACTTCCCGCTCGCTGTCCCAGCCGCAACCCAATCCATACTCGGGTGGAACTGCGCTACAGCAGGCACAGCCGTAATATTCTCGCCTCCCAACTGGGCCAGCTGTTTCCCGTCGCCAGTATAAATGTCTACAAAGCGATTCATGTTTCCAATCACGAACCTCTGAATCCCATCCTGCGGTTGCAATTGCCATTGCGCTCGCAGAATCGTCACCCAACGACCCGTCTGGTTATTATGCGGTACAATTGTTGCGGGATTCATCTCTGTCCCATCGAGTTCATGACCAGATTTCCAATCTCCCGAAGAGGAGAAATCGTAGATTTTGACTGTGTCGTCGTAGGATGCGGTGGCGACTTGTCCGGCAGAATTGAATGCTGCGTGAGATACAGAGAGTTTAGAGAGGTGTTCGCCAATGAGATGAGGAAGACGATTTCCGCCTTTGCCGGAGATCTTGCGCAGGTCCCAGAGCTTGAGTGTGCGGTCGAGGGAGGCAGTGGCGAGGAGGTGTGGGTGGGCAGGATGTAGGGAGAAGCCTCCGATCTTCTTTTCAGAGAGTTGCAGGAGTTCGATCGTTTGATGGGCCGGGGTTCGGAGGTCTTTCATACCGTACTGGCCGTTTAGGGTCGTGAAGTGTAGCACGTTGGGGTCTGCGTGAGCAATTTGGACGCCGGATACTGGAAGGTCCTCGCTGCGGTCTTCAGGCGCGTAGACCTCTACTGCTGATGCTTTTCCGAGGTCCAATTTTCGTATTGAAGAGTCGTAGGAAGCTGAATATAGAGCATTTTGATCGTGTGGGGAGCATTGGAATGCGCTGATCGTTCGCGTGTGAATCTTGAATGTGGTGATGGCCGGTTCCACCTCATCGTCGACCTCATCTCCATCTTCGTCTGCATCATCTGCTTCTTGTTTGATCTTCTCAGGGGAGGTTTGTGAAGCGTCGAAAAGTCCCAGACTACCTGTTTTATCTCCTGCAAACACGAGTGCCTTGTCAGGCGTTGGGTGAAATCCAAGAGCATATATTCGTTCTGGCGTGATCTTGATTCTGTTCGGTTCTGCGCCTTCCCACAACTGTAGGCTGCTCATGCGCTCGCGTAATGCTTTCAGCTCCTTGTCTGAAGTGTTCTTCACATCTTGAGCATCGAATGTCCTCTCTCCGGGATTGGCTGGTCCAACCAAAGATAGCCAATTGCCGGACCTGTTCCAATTTGCGCCGTTGACTATCGCCTCCTTGAGATCGATATCATCGCTCACACGCTGCCTCTTCGCGATCTGTTGTTGCTGGAATGCTTGCGCCTCTTCTTCCTCCTTCTGCCTGGCGACCTCGGAATCCGCGACTATGCCCTTCAGACGAGACGAAGTCCTACGTGGACCTTCTTCCTTGATCTCCTTCTTCACTTCACGCTTTCTCTTTGTTCCTGCGCTGGCAGCAGGCTTTGCTTTGGCCTTCTTTGGTCCCAGACCAGCCTGCTGAGCATCGAGCTGTAATTGCTGCAGCAATGCCTGATTTTTGGCGATTTTCTCTTGTCTCGCACGCTCGTACTCGCTCACTTGAGCGCTTGTTCTAGCCATGATACTCAAGAAGTGTCCTGTGAATCCCAATGTCGATGGTCTTGATGTCGAAAAGTCGATGACGGACACGCGACGAGGACGCGTCGCGATTCACTTCCGAGATTGTCGCGAGATATTGCCGTTCCTTCAACGCGAGCTGCTGGCATTGCTTCTATTGATACCAGCAACGACACATCATGCTGGCTGCAAGAGCATCTCACAGGCTAAGTATAGCAGAATGTGCGCACGGCACTCTCCTACCTTTTCTGTACCAGACCAAGACCATTGCTCGAGCATATTCAGAGGAGCTGCATCTCGATCAAAAAGCTGGCCAGGGCGCGGAGGAGGAACGCAAGCTGCGAGAGATCAAGGAACGTTGGTCTAGGAGACGATCTGTGACCACTCGCGACGATGGACAGTCTGCCGCTAGAGTTCACGAACGGTGGGAACCCATCTCGCAGCGTATGCAGAACGCCGCGCGCAGGCCAAAAAAGTCACAGAGTATTCCTTTCGAGGGCGATACTGGGTCAGCGACGCCATCAGAGAGACTACAGAACACGACGATGACGCCGCGAGAGATGCAGGTCTTCGAGGAATTGTTTCGCAAGGGAATTGGGAAAGAGACAGTCGAAGAGCAAGCACAGGACAAGGCGAAAAAAGCCTCGAAGACAAATGCCGGCGTGGAATTCCCAGACCTGCTCAAGCCATTGGTCGAAGAAGCGGAGCAGCTACGACGGCAGTCAACTTTGGAGAAAAATGGCATGGAGACGATGGGGGAGCTGGCGAAACCTCTGGAAGAGCTGGAGATCAAGGATGCACAGGGACTTGCGATCAAGGACCGCATGGACAAAGCTGCCTCAGATGTTGAATGCTGGAAAGTCCTGCGTGAGCATGTGCTCGATCGTTTAGCAGACGAGTCGGACCACAATGCCGTGCAAACTAGCTTTCCTGCACTGCCTGGTCTGCTTCTGCATTACATGAGGCTACAGGCAGACAAGTTGCCTGCTACGCACTCCCTTGGCCTTGTTGTTCTTCCTGAGCTCAAGAAAATCGGCCCGCTCGCTTTTGCGCTCGGTGCCACCACGGAGCTGTACAATCAGCACATGCAGCTCCTCTGGCGACAGTATCGCGATCTCGATGAGATAGATAATGTTTTGGCAGAAATGGACAGGGAGGTCTACTCTTTTAACGAAGGCACGCAAGATCTCCTCGCCGCGATTTTGGATCACGCCGATGACGCTCTGACTGGAAGACTCGGCCCCACTGCCAGAGCTCTGTGGACGATGGACCGGAAGTCGAGGGGGCTTGCAAAAATGAAAGAGTGGAAGAAGGCAGTGGACCAGAGACTGCGAGAGCAAGCACTGAGCGATGTACAGGCACTGCAGGCAGATCTGGATGATGACGCTTGAAGAGAGCGGTGGGAAGCACGCTGCGAAGTGCGCAGCTGCATAGAGCGGCGCATAAAGTCAAAGGGCCTGCCAGGTGACGAATCCTCAGCCAACCCGCCTTGGGACCCCCGTCAGGAACATATGCGCCACCTGTCGCCAAGACTGCTCCGTGAACTTTACTCTCCGTTCCCGTATAGTAGAGGCGATCGGCATTCCAATGCCGACCAGCTGAAGGGAAGACCCTACATCTGGTTTCAGTACCGCGATCCGAATCTCTCAACTGTCTGAGACCGATATCGCCAATTTCTTGCTTTGATCACTGCGCAAAGCTTGCCGGACTCGAGCCCAGGCGGAATGGCGGCAACTTCTTTGTGCCAGTATACAGCTGATGTTCAGAGCATGGCCGAATGAGGTGAATCCATATCGTACAACAATTTAGGTAGTCCCGTGGTCCGGCTGCCACGTTATACAACCACGCCCGGAAGCCTCGACGATCCAGGCCTCCGTACCTGTGCTTATGCGATGGACCAGCATCGCGAAGACCATGCGAGTGCTCAGGTTGTTCTACGCCTGGTAGCGCTGCCAGTATCGCTTGCTGCGTTATTGCACTGAAGGCCCTTGGCGATATTTGGTGGCATTGTAACACAATGTGCGACGGAGATGAGCACGCACCTTCTGATTAGAGGCAGCGCAATGTAACAGAATGCCGATTGTCCATCTCCAACGGCTTTTGACGATCAAGTGCAGTACTGACGATGCTCAAATAGACTCACTACTTGAAACAGGTCCGCAAGCCACGCTGACTCGTTCACAGTGCCGCAACAATCCGAACCTGGACTCTGCTGTAGCAGAGCCTGCACAACTGGCTACCACCTTGGACCCAGTCACTCCACAGCTGCTACACGTACTGCAAAGCATAGCTGCCAAGATTGGGTCCATGTACTCATCACTCCCGGATACGAGCCCGTGTCGAGGACTCCGCCTCGTTCGCATCCCCTTCGACAAGGCAGCACATCAGCACAAGATGGATAGGCATCACGGTCTAGACTGCCCCTATTGTGATCATCAGAGTACGTAGGTATGGCTGCTATGAAGCAACGCTCGGCATTCGGACGTCACGTTGTCATTTACACTTTCGATGTCAGTCTGAGCTTGTTTGCCGAACGGACCATCCGGGATGTGACAGCGCCTCCAAATGTTACCTAAGAGCGAACATTGATTGCTGGCAGTCACAGAATCGTTGCAGTGAGCTGGTGGAATATGAAGCGTGCTTCGTCAGTGGCGCGCAGTCCGGGGTTCCGCTGGCTTTGCGCGGGACAGCGGCTCGGTCAGCCCTGTGGCATTCAAGGCACTGCATATTCAGACGGCAGGAGTGGATTCTCAACGGCGTACAGAGCAAGGTATGCACCATGTCTGTGCTGAACGACCGACGTGGAAGATGACGATGTGACTTACGCGTGACGATAGGGCAGCAGATGAAGGATGCTGGTTAATGTCCAGGGACATTGCACAGGACCGCCGAGCTCTCCTACACTCACATCACTGCCTAATGATGTGAATCTCTATCAATGGCGATCCAAGACAGGAGCGATTAGAACAGCTGGGGCAGATTCGCCGAACGCTTTGGCTCCGCTACGCTGGGGCAAACGTTGTGTGTCAAAACAAAACCGACTAACCCGCCAGTGGAGAGCGTTTGAAGTTGCCATGTTGAGTAACTTCTTACACGAATTGATCAGGATAAGCTTGTTCTTGCTACTAGGACAATAGCTTATCGACAGTCCCGTCAAGCTCCAGATGACGGGGACCAGTATCCTCAAAATAGGAACATTGCTGAATCGCCACGCTGTAATCAGCCGCCAGGACCAATGCCGATGATCTTCGAAATACCTGCTGACGATCTAATAGGGCAATCGAGGATCAAGCCTGCAAACTCTGACCTCAGTATTGCATGCCGCAGTGTGAAGACCGACCGATTGGGAAATTTTCCAATGATCGACATGTTGACAGCATGAAGCTTGCGGGCATACAGCTGATGAGTCTTGTTTGAGGGTAACATTGCCGTCTGGGCGAGGAAAGCAAGATGGGAGAGAGAGAAAGGAGCCTGCAGCATGTATAAAAGATGGCTCCAAGTCCACCTCAGATCAATTCTCATCAACAACAGCCTCTCACTGCCAGCTACACACCACAACCAACTTCACCACTCACTCTAATCACATCCACAATCCGACAAACGTCACCCAACAACAACACCGCCAAAATGCAGTTCACTACTACCGCTATCATTGCTGCCTTCGCTGCCATCGCCGCTGCTGCTCCAGGCGGTGGCTACCCGGGTGGCTACCCAGGTGGTTGCCAGACTGGCAACTGCGGTGGAGGCTACGGAGGCTACCAAGGCGGCTACAGCGGCCAGCTCTGCTGCTACAAGAGCCAGCCTGGCGCTTGCTGGGCTCCTGGTACTCGTAAGTCATCAATGCATCCACATCACACATATCGCAGAACAACAAAACTGACGCTTTTTTTCCCACCAGCTGGTTACCCAAGCATCGGTCACCCTGACGTCGATGTTTACGATAACTGCGGCAACAACAAGCAGGGCGGTCTGCTCGCAGTAAGTCCCAGAGATATCAATTACCTTCTCCACGAAATATCTGACAGTACATGACACCAGGCTGGCAACTTGTTGTCTTGCGACGTCTTGAACGGCAACCAGATTGCACCAATCAACCTCCAGCTCCTCAACTTCGGCGAGACCACCGGCGGCAACTTCAACGGCGGAAACGACAACTAAATGTTTCCTTCCGCATATACATGCCAACCACCCACAAGGAACTGACAGCAGCGAACGAGCGGATGTTATAATGGGCCACAGTCGAAGAATCTTTCGTTTGTCGGGAATGAGGATGTGATAGAGGCAGAGGAGGGTAAAACATTCGTTCGTACCAGTCGGTGTATTACACTATAGTAACCTTAAAGCACACATCAACAAACACAGCCATGATTCGACTTTCCACTCGTGATGTGTTAGGGACTAACAGCCTTGTGCGAGATTATAAAAGCAGAGAAGATGCCGGTCTAGAAAACTTGTTCCTTGGGTGACCAACCTCTGCATCAACATCCGTAGACACCAGGAGAGCTGGCCGATACTTATGTTCCAAATCCCTGATCTGCTGCTCACAGTCTTCACACTTTCTCATTCTTGCGCGACCTCCTACCGTTGTTGCTTTCTTTCGCTTTATAGTTGAAAAATTATTTAGTTCGCCGGCGATAAGAGGTGAAATGTCAACCACCCTAGACGCCTTGAGAGACAGATACATGAAGCATCAAGTGTATGATGGCAAGAATCATGCCTGCATGTTGCATACGAATTCGCACCAGAAATTCCTCCTCTCTGATTCCATGGGACGAACTACGGAATGGCGGCACGACACCAGTTGGCACAGTATGCGCACCTTTTCCAGAGACCGCCTCCCGACTCTGTCCCCATGCCTCAGAGGCGGCGGGCAGCGGAGCGACACCAGTCGACACCTCTTGCTCCAAAGCGGCAGAGATAAGTCAATCACTGCGTGTCAGCGAACAATTCCAATGTCGCCGACCGCTTTCTACGACAACGACACAACAGAAAGTGACAGTCTGCTTTGAATAGTTGATCATAATTTCATGCACTATTTACAAGCCGGCTAACTCAAGCAAATCACAATAAATCCTTTCCATTCTTCTTTTCATCTAAGCCTTAACAGTCTCAAAACCCTTCCACTCAGCCAAATACCCTCTAATCTCAGGTCCATACTTATCAACACCACCCGCATAACAAGTCATCTCAAACTTCTTGCCTGGCACAGTACCACCCATATACGTCGATCGGGTAGTAGGGAAAAGAGTCCCCGCAGCCAAATCCTGAATACGCTGCTTCCACTCATCACTAGCCTCCTTGGTAGGGTTCACGTACTTGAGACCTTGCTTGTTGATCTTCTTGATGGCGTCACGGATCCATCGGGCTTGGATTTCGACGGATGATGGACCGTTGGAGAGGAGGGTTGGGCCGTGAGGGCCGTATAAGTGGAAGAGATTGGGGTAGCCGGAGATGGTGGTTCCGAGGAAAGTGTTGGCGCCTTCTTTCCATTCGTCTTTGAGGTAGGTGCCGTTGATGGATTTGAGGCCCATGGAAGTCATGCCGCCTGTGACGACATCGAAGCCGGTGGCAAGAGCGATGATGTCGAACTCGGTTTCCGTACCTGCCGTAACAATACCTTTTTCGGTAAATCGTTCAATAGGGGTTCCAGCGTCTTCATTAATCGATATGATGTTGACATTGGGCCTATCGAGCACCTCATAATAGGTTTGCTCCAAGCAGGGGCGTTTGACTCCGAACGGGTGAGGCTTCTTCTCTGGGAATAGGAGCTTCTTCTTCTCCTCGTTCTGCACACGTTTGCTCTGCGTCTTTCTCCAGAATTCGTACGCAACATCATTTGCCTTGTCGTTGGCAAGGTAGTCTTTGTATCCTCCGAGCCACAGAGCAAATCCTTGCTGCGCCCACAGATTAGTCAGGAACTCCTCACGCTCCTGCTCATCATCCTCAAATGTGTCCCGCTCACACAAATCGTAGTGGAACCCAGCAAAACACTTCTCGCGCATCGCGTGTATGTAAGGATAGTCGGGTTTAAGCGAGTCCTGCTCTTCCTTTGACAGGTCTCGCTTGCCCATTGGCAGTGCGAGGTTTGGTGTCCGCTGGTATACGGTAAGCTGCTCGGCCACTGGTCCCATCTCTTGAATCATCTGCACTCCTGATGCACCAGTGCCGATGACGGCGACCTTCTTGCCCTTGTAGTCGACTCCCTCGGCTGGCCAGAAGCTGGAGTGGTGGATCTCGCCCTTGAACGAATCGAGGCCTGGCACATCGGGAATATCTAGATTCTTTGTCAGCTTACACAAATCGACATGACGACTGGATGTACTCACATCTCTTGGCAGCAAATCCGGCGGCGACGATCAAGAAACGGGCCTTGGTGGTACGGCCGTCTTGAGTCTTGACAGTCCACTTCCCCTCATTTGTGTCGAACTCGGCACTGACGACCACGGTTTCGAATGCACAGTCCTTGCTGAGCTCAAGCACCTTGTCCATGTGGTCAAAGTATGCCTGCAGCTCTTCCCAGTTGGGGTAGTTTGTCGTCCAGTGCCAATCTTTGTAGACCTCAGGAATGGCCAGTTCGTAGATTGGGACAGGGCTGTCCACTCGTGCACCGGGATAGACATTCTGACGTGGAGTCAGCCTGAAGATCAGAAGATCGTCGGCATGGTGAGGTACTAACCCATCGCCATGTGCCACCAAAGCCTTGTCCTGCATCGTACAAGACTGTGTTGAATCCATTCTTCCTAGACTCGTACAAACTCATTGCTCCACCGAATCCAGCGCCAACAATGAGAACATCGATGTCAAGATTGTCGGCATAAGGGCCGTCCTCGCGTCGTCGGCGACCATACTGCCAAAGGTCTGTCTTGATGATGCGCTCTGGGTTCTGCGTGTCAACTCCGACGCTGCCCATGGTGGCAAATTCTCGTAGAAAATGATAAGTAGTTTGGAAGCGTGTGCTGATACGAATGGGTGGCAAGAGATGAGGTGGAGGGGTTGACAAGTCTTTATGAGTGCAGGATACTTCCCTAACTAGGCCGATACTAACGAGTTACTTTCCCTTCATCCGCCTTTTCTGAGGGCATTCGAGATTGTACGGCGGCAAACCTGCCTAGGCGCGTGGAGCTTCAGCAGCTGAGGTCGATCTAACCCTGCAGGAGATTGGACATCGATGCGGGGCTAAGACCATAGTCTGGGGTTACCTGGGGACTTGTGGGGCAGTAGTACGGTCTGGAAGAGTGGAAGTGGCAACCCGGTGGCTGTGTTTGGAGCGTTGGTGTGCATGAGTGATCCAGACGCGGGCTCGAGGCGGGCTCGCTGACCCCGCCATGTACCTCATCCGACGCAGAGGGGCAAGTCTACGCTACCATTCCGGAGGTTAGTTCTCACACAGCTGTCAGACAGTCTGCGAGCTATGATCGATTGGTGCGCCTCGTCTAATGATCTCTTCGGGTGATCATACACCCTGCTGGGCCGCTGTTGAGCACGAATGGTATAGCAAGGCGCACTCCAAAGAAGTCCCTAGGGCTACGACTGGTATTGTGACTAGCCAGTAGCTCCGGACTATGATCTGGGGTGGAGTATATTGCATATGTGGTACCTCTCGATCGCAATGCTGGGGTAGCACAGATTGTGATGAAGGTCGACATCCACTCGCCCGATCTCATTCGCCAGGTAGCTGAAAGGCAAAAGTTGGCTTCATTGGCTGCGAATGCGAGATCGGACAACCGCAACGGAGAATGAATAGCGAGGGCGGAAGTATTGCGTGCAATATTGATGGTCTAGCGAGACATTGCCATCATGCAGGAACAAATAGAGCTAGAGGTCGTGTCGTCCCGGGAGACTGGGGCGCTCAGTGGTGAAAAGAGGCACACGATGCGGCTCTGTTCTGGCAAGCCCCAGGTTCCGCTATTGCACTGTCCACGTGGGTGCCATTTCGCACCACACGGGGCTTCTTTCGGACAGGTACCGCTGCCGTCTACCTCCTACGTTCTGCTTGGAATTGCTGCTTCGGCCAGAGGGGAGGAATTCTAGCCACTCGTGAGCTGTGGCGCACTGTTCTGGAACAACTTTTCCGGTCTGCGATTCAAGCCTCTGGCTGCATCTCGCTGTTCCACCCTTCAATGAGTCAAGTGGTGCCAGTGAGGACTCGGTAGTGACATTACAGGCGGATGGATTGCGGATGCGATGTTGTTGCTTGTCGTTGTGTCAAGTTTCACAGTTTGGTTGTAAAAATTGGAATGAGGCTCGAAAGTGCACGGACATCATCCATCGGGAGCTGCCATCTCTTCCAACCCTCCACTGTGCCTCCACTCTTCCTTCTCACTTCTCTCTGCTGACCAACTGCTACACGAGTGATGAACGGGATTTTTGCAACCGCACGGCACAACAAAGAACCGCATAGCCCAACGGGACGAACAACTAGCCTGCCACTGAAAACGATCCCAAAAGGCTCTTTCGCCCGCGTTCTGCTGAGTTGCGGTGGTCGAGTCAGGCCCATATCTGCGCTCATCCGGACCCCAAGAGCAGCGGTATGCCTACATGCATGGATGATACGTTGCGCACTGCACGTCGTACGCACTCGCGGCCGCGAAACCGGCATTGGGGAGGATAAGGGCGCATGAAGAGCGGCCATTGAAGCGGGTGACGTGACCTTAGTTTCGGGCCCAGCAGGTAAGTTGTCTAGCAACCTGGCTTTGAGGCTCCATGGGCAGATTCAGAAGACTGTTGCGCCGGACATGTGCTCGGCGCTGGACAGGAAGCAGTGACAGCACATCAAAAGGACCGCATATGCCCTCTCCCATGGATACCGCGGCGAGCCCATTCCTGATCATGAGTTATTGGCTCTCTACGCGTAACAATGTGAATAGCAATCACCCCGGTCGCAGCTCGTCACTCCCGCCATCCACCTGTCCAACATGGCATATGGATCAAAGTCTCCGGTCATCTGTGGTATGCAGCGTCCGAAGCGACACAGATGTCCACAGCGATAGTACGGATATTTGTGCCGCGTAAAGGTGGTATGTAGCCGATATCGCAATGACTTCAGACATCATATGCAACACAAAACAGAGCATGCAAGCCAGGAATCAGCCCACATCTCACCCTTGAACCTTGCAGCAGCAGCTTCACAACTTCAGCCTCACTCTGCCCCGCTTGCCAACTCTGACAACAGTTCAACCCCGCCATACTCAGACCACCGCAACACACAGGTACCACACACTACAAGAAGCCAGACCAAAATGTCCAAGCCCAAGGTCTTCGTCCTCAATCCCTACCATCAAGATGCTATTGCCCTCCTCCAGCAATCCAGCTCTGTTCAAGCAATCCTCCCTGGCCAAGCTGGCTCAGACCAATGGCACAACGAAGCCGATGGAATTCTAATTCGCTCTGACACCCGCCTAACAGGACAAGACTTCGCCATGGCCAAAAAGCTCAAAGTCGTTGTGAAGCTTGGGACTGGTGTCGACAACATTGACCTTGAAGCAGCCAAAAAGCACAATATTGCAGTCTGCAACACCCCAGCCATGAACGCCGAAGCCGTAGCAGAACTAACCCTCACCCTCGCCCTCACCGTCGCCCGCCGCGTCGTCGAGATCGACAGGAAACTCAACCGCGGCGAAGATTTAATCCGCTCCCAACTCCTCGGCCAATCTCTCTACCAGAAATCCCTTGGCATTGTCGGAATGGGAAACGTCGGAAAAGCCGTAGCGAAAAAATGGATCGGAGCCATGGAGGGCAAAATCATCGCCTACGATCCTTTTGCTCCCAATGGAGCCTGGGACGACATCGAACATCATCGTGTCCTAGACCTCGACATCCTACTCAAATCCTCCGATGTCATAAGTTTACACGTCCCACGAACAGATGATACAACAGATATGATTGACAAACGAGAATTCGGTTTGATGAAGAAGAATGCTATCTTATTGAATTGTGCGAGAGGTGGGATTGTTAATGAGGATGCTTTGTTGGATGCGCTGGATGAGAAGAGGATTTTTGGAGCGGCGCTGGATGCGTTGGATTTTGAGCCGCCGAGTTTGGAGAAGCATGGGTTGCATTTGGGGTTTGATAATTTGGTTCTGACGCCGCATGTGGGTGGGACGACGGAGGAGAATCAGAGTGCTAGTGGGAGGTTTGCTGTTGAGACTGTGGTTGCTGTGCTGGAGGGGAGGGAGGTGGAGAATAGGGTGGTGTAAGGTCGCCGATTGTTCTGAAGATTTCTCCTGGGTTAAATCTGTGAAAGACTGTGGTGACAAGATTGAATATTGAGTGTAATATTGAGGATTGTGGAAGAGGAGTTAAAGGTCGCCAGAGATGTGTATACCTAAGCAGATTATCAACGCCGGTGTAGCTTGCAAGGTGGCGTTCCGCGATCCATATTGCAAGCTTCTCTCACCACTTTGCAATTGTGTTTGGTAACCACGAAGCACTTCAACACACAGACGCCGACGCAAATGCGTGCCCCGATCGCGTGGTACGTTTCCACGCTCTGGATGTTTCCGCATGGCTCGAACTCAAACCAGCGCCGAGGCTTACCAAGATTGGTATGGACAATCTTTGGAACCCTCGTTGTAAACAATTTCCAAATCAGTTGTGATCATGGATATTCACGACAGTCACAGCCATGTCATCCTTTCGTTCTCTGCTTTGTGGTCTAGGAGCAGGTTACCTCTGGTTCGGTAGCGGCGATATCTGTCAGACATCAGAAACAGCGGCAGCACCAGCACTCTACGCGAATGCAGAAATCCCTATCCTTAGCGATGAGATCAGATGTTCAGTCGCCCCAGAGACGCATTTGCGGATGCTGGCAATTGGCGACTCGATCACTGTAGGCTGGGGAGGCAGCGAATATTGGAATAGTTATCGAAAGGACTTGCTCAACTTTTTGGAAAGTGATTGTCCTATGAAGAATCGAACCTATATTGGTAAGTGGACTCCGGTGATGTTTCGTTAGTCGTTCCTGACCATGAGACAGGCACTCAGCGAACTGGAAATTTCGTCGAAAACCGACACGAAGGATATCCAGGATACAATATCAACCAGATCGCAAATGATACTCAGCCAAGACTCATGAACTCGATTCTGGAGATGCCGAATGTGGTTCTGCTGCACGCAGGAACGAATGATATGGTAGACCGACCTGGGTCAGCACCTCAAGAAGCGCCGGAGCGACTTGGGAAGCTTATGGATATGGTTCTTGAAACGGTGCCTAATGTCACGCTCATCGTGGCGCAAGTAATCCAGGTGACGGAGGACTCTGCGCGCAGAAATTTGATCCCGCAATTGAATACGCAGATTCCAAGAATTGCTGTAGAGCGCGTGGCCAAAGGGTATAAGGTGCAAGTGGCGGATTTGAGCTCGATTGGTGTGGACACTGCGGATTTGCGAGATGGACTGCATCCGAGTGATGCGGGCTATCGCAAGATGGCTGTGAAGTGGTTCGGTGCGCTTCAGAATGTGACCCAGGCAGGGCTTATTACGCCGCCGAGGGAGATGTCCTCTGTTGAAGGGACTCCGGAAGGATGGCATGTGTTTTTCTGCATATTGTAGTACAACTCAGCTGCTTGGACGTCTGTATTCTAGCCGAAGCAAGGGGTGACATCGCACAGCGGAGCTGCATGTGGTCTAGATGCACGCGATACCGGCATTTCTGAGTGAACTTTGTTTGTGTCGTGTGAGAGAAGAGAAGTAGAAGTGATCTCGACAAGCTGCATGTGAATCTCCCGCGCCCAAGCTTCAAAGCTCCGGGGCCGGACAGCTGCAGGGGCCAGCTTTGATGCCACATAGACCAAACCCACGATACGGCGGAGACACGATGGAATCTTTTGCTTTGGCCGCACAGCATTCGGGTGCCATCAATCACCACCACACCGTTTCCTTCAACTCCTCCGCGGTCGATGCGCTGAAAGAGGTCAAATTGATCGTTTCTGTCGTGGTCGTAGGCTGGATCGCGACTACCGCTTTGAGAGGATTTCTGTTCAAGAGCAACGATAAGGCATAGCGGGACTCTGTGTATACATACAACCAACGAAAGACGAGACATTGATCACGAGCAATCATTGCAGAGCATTGATACCGAGTGTTGGATAGTCGCAATCGCTATTGAACAAACCCATCGCTACCCTCCACCACCTTCCATCGATTCTGTGCCCGAGCACATCTCACACCACATCGAATCGTGTGCACGCGACATTGAGAAAGATGACACTCCCACGATTACCTCAGTCACTCGCATGGCTGGTGTTCGCTACCCTCGTCTCCGCCGTTGACCGCTTCGCTGCGCCAATCGATAGCCTTTCGTTCGGCCATAAAGGCGACTTCACACCAGGAGCCACAATCTCTGGCTGGCACGCAGCCAGCGTAAACCACGATTTGCACGTCACTCGAGATCGTGTCATCCTCACACCGCCGTGGCCCGGCCAGACGAAGGGTGCGATCTGGTCAGACCAGAGCATCGGGCAGGTCAACGACTGGACAGCACAGCTCGAATTCCGAGCATCAGGTCAAGAGGTTGGCTCCGGAAATCTGCAGCTGTGGTACACCCACGGATACGACACCCTGCATGCAGACAGTGTCTACAACGCGGGGAAGTTCGACGGCCTCGTCATTGTGGTCGATCAATATGGAGGCTCTGGCGGCAAGATTCGAGGTTTCCTGAACGACGGTTCTGTAGATTACCGCTCATCTACATCGCTCGAGTCACTGGCATTCGGGCACTGCGATTATAGTTATCGCAATTTGGGAAGACCCAGTAAACTCAAGATTACGAGCAGGGGAGGCCTTACAGTGTCCATTGACGATAAAACATGCTTCTCTTCCGACAAGATCTCTTTGCCAACTGGCGACTACTTCTTTGGTATCACTGCTACTACTGGAGAGAATCCAGATTCCTTCGAGGTCACCAAGTTCGTTGTGAGCAGTGGAGGAGATCCAGTAACAGGCGGACAGCAAGGCTACCCAGGCAACACAGCTCAACAACCCATTCAGGGGCAGCAGCAGCAACAGCAGCAGAACCCGCCTCAGATCAAAAAGATGGACAGCATGCCAGGCGCACCAGAGATGCTCCCTGATCGGGATGCAGACCAAATCAAGTCGCAAACCGAGCAGTTCGCCGACTTGCACAATCGCGTGCAAGGCCTCACTCACCAGATGGGCACTGTCTATTGGGAGATCAAGAACTTGGCGGACAAGATTGATTCAAAACACTTGGACACCGTGAGCAAGATCAACAATGTTGGTGCTAGCAGAGATACTGGGCTGCCACCGGAGACGGTTGGCAAGATCAATGCTTTGCACGACCGCGTGTCGAGCATTGAGTCGATCGTCAACATCATTCGCGACGATATCGAGGGCAGAGACTACAAGCAGTCTCTTGACGAGCTGCACAACGCTATGTCGTTCCTGCACTACAACTTCCACGACCATTTGGAGCCAAAAATGGAAAAAGGTAAGTCCGCACATTGCTGTGACGTGCGATGAAACAGCTGAGACACAAGCTAATTCGGGTTCGCAGTTATCAAAACCCATGGTCCGAGCACCTCACAAATGGTTCTTACCATCATCGGCTTCCAGTGCCTGATGGTGCTGTTCTACGCATTGTACAAGAGGCAGAGACACAGTCAGCCAAAGAAGTACTTGTAGATGGAGCCTCTGGCTGATCATGGACAGCGTTTAGTTAGCGTGCATGCCACACTACAGATGGGGTGAGAAAAACCGTCGCATACTGAACAGCTTCGATGGGGACAATTGTATGAATGGACACCTTTGATAGACGTGGTTGTTTGGTTACGTGGCATGAGGCGATGGCAAGGACATGGGGGTAAATGTAATTGTGCGAATGCGAATGCGCGTGGGACATTGTATGTTTGTTATTAGTATGCAAGCTGCTTAATGTAAGCATGGCTTTTGTGAAGATGTGCCTGGTCTCGGCACTGCAAGACGATGTCAACACACGTCGCACAGGAACAGCTCACATGAACGGCATCACACGCGCACCGCGTACAACCTCATCTCCAGTCTTCTTCGACTTCCTCGCGCTATGACATGTTCTCCACGCTGCGGCGCAATCACATGCCACAGTCGCGTCTTCCAATGCCGGCTATCAACGGCCGATCCGCGGCTAACCATTTGATAAGAGAAATCCGCGAGCCACCACGCTACCGCTTACACCTGTACTTAAGGTCTTCGACTTCCCCTAAGTACAGGAAAAGGCGACACGATGAGTCGACAGCCCACTCGACAGCATTTGCGTCTCGTAAACGGCGAGCCTAGGGAGCGATAGTGAGCCGGAAGACTCTTGCGCCCTGCGATTTCAAAAAGGAAGTATCCTCGCTGCCCGTTTCTGTTTTCCTTGTTCTTTCTTGCATTCTGCGTTTGCAACTCTATCGTGAACTTTCCGCTTTTTCTACGGGACGGGGACAGGGACAAAGAGAAACTCTTCTTAGCTTTCTCATCATCGTTTACAGATTGTACACCTGAGACATCCTGAGGTCATCGGCATCCACGATGTAAGGCACCGCTCATCGAGTGACTCGATTGACATGAAGGCTGATACAATCAGAAAGTAGCACAATGGACGCTCCTACAATTACACCAAAGTTCCTATCCAAGGCCGACGAGCTGGGTCTGGTGGCTGTCGGTTTTAGTGGTGGACAAGTTCGTCTCTTCCCTCATCCTCTATGCAAGGAACACAGACTAAACATGCCACTCTCCAGTGCAAACCAGGCACAGATGCGGCCCCAATGGCCCTCATCGAGTCCGGCCTCATCAACGACCTGCGCGACGAACTCAAATATGACGTGAAATACGACAACAAAGTCCACGCCTACGGCGATCTCATGCCCTCCGAAGACCCCGAACACCGCCGCATGAAAAACCCTCGAGCCGTGTCCGCCGTGACAAAGAAACTCAGCTCCCAAGTCTACGAGCACGCACGCGAAGGCCGCTTCGTGCTGACATTGGGAGGAGACCACAGCATCGCCATCGGTACCATCTCCGGCACCGCCAAAGCCGTCCGCGAGCGTCTAGGAAGAGACATGGCAGTGATTTGGGTCGACGCACACGCAGACATCAACACGCCCGAAACGAGCGATAGCGGAAACATCCACGGCATGCCCGTCTCATTTCTCACAGGTCTCGCAACGGACACTGCCGAAAACCCTTTCGGTTGGATCACAGAAGACCAACGCATCAGCCCCGCGAAGCTCGTCTACATTGGTCTTCGAGATGTAGATCGAGGGGAGAAGAAGATTTTGAAGGATAACAACATCAAAGCTTTCTCGATGCACGATATTGATCGGCATGGGATCGGGAAGGTCATGGATATGGCTTTGGGTTGGATTGGACGGGATACGCCGATTCATTTGTCGTTTGATGTGGATGCTTTGGATCCTATGTGGGCGCCTAGCACGGGGACGCCGGTGAGAGGAGGGTTGACGTTGAGAGAGGGAGATTTTATTGCGGAGTGTGTGCATGAGACGGGGAGTTTGGTTGCGTTGGATTTGGTCGAGGTCAATCCGAATTTGGAGGCGCATGGTGTTAGTGAGACGGTGAGGGCGGGGGTGAGTATTGTGAGGTGTGCGCTGGGAGATACTTTGCTATAGGGTGGTAGAGGTTCGGGATAGAATTAGATGTAGAGTGAAGATTTGCATGCTCACGCAGCGCTGTTGTGGTGTTCCGTTCACATGCTCGCGCGCTAGACGCCCGGAGAAGCCACGGAGGAGACACATCGACAACCTTGCGATAGCACCACATGAGCTGAGCTTCACTTCGCATCAGCTGGGACAGTGTCATCCAATGTGTTCTGGTCACATTCAACAAGACTCGCGTGCCCTGTCGTCTTAGTCGTGGAGAGGCGAGACGCGTGTTGAACGACACGTAGCTTCAAATAATTGTCAGCGGGACCCCTCTGCGCCGCCATATCGATTGGCGTCCAACGTCCGCGACACATTTTCCTCAATGATCTAGCAAAGTGATTGCAGAAACGAAGAGCCAACATGGCCAACAGATCGTGGGGCAATTGGAAGGCAGCAGCTCTGGCCAGCTTGCTGACCTGCTCCAATGCCCTTCCCTCCGTCAACGTCGCCGTACGGACAGCCTTTGGTGCTCCACCGTTTCTGGTAGAACTGCTGTACGGTTTCACGCACTCTACCACAGAAGTCACGTAGCTGAACAATACCTTAGCGAGACAGCAGCCGAAGAGAACAACACAGCCTATTTCCCTCTCCTCGATCGCATCGCAGACGGCTACTTCGATTCCTCGACGACCGACGAACAGCTATACAAAGCCTTCCGATCACTCCTCGAATCAGACGGACATCTAGGGAGAGAGGACCTCTCATCCTTCGACTATGCTCTCGCCATCCACTCCGCTGCCCCACGCATCGAAGCCCACTATCAATACTACAACACTTCCGTTGTTCCCACAATATCGAAAGAGAGAGATGGCTATGCAGGATGCGATACGTGGGTTTATGTCCCTTTCAGCGGGCAGAAATACTGCTCTCCAGACTTGGACGAGAAAAGCGCGGAGAGTTTGGGACAACCAGGAGATACAGTGAAGTCATTACCTTTCGATCGTGTGCTGGGAGACGCGAATAGCGAGAAGCCGAGCGTACTGTACGCAGATCTGTCGAGTGAGAGTTTCAGGGAATTCCACAAGACGTTGAGTAAGACGGCGAAGGACGGCAAGACGAGTTATCGAGTGCGTTACAGAGCTTTTGAGGGAGTGGAGAGTAAGCCCTTGACTGTGAGCGGGTATGGTGTGGAACTTGCATTGAAGAGGACGGATTACATCGTCATTGATGATCGACAAGACGGCGAAGATGCGGAGAAAGACGAGGGAAAGAGCGCCGCAGAGACGAAGCTGAGCGAGGAAGAGCTCTCGGATCTTCGACCTCTGTCACAATCGGAGTTGAGGAGATTGGGAGTGAGAGCTGCCAGTTTTGTCATGGGAAGCGAGGATCCTTTTGCGACGCTGTTGAAGTTGAGCCAGGATTTCCCGAAGCATTCGACGAGTATTGCGGCGACGAACGTTTCTCAGGACTTTATCGAGGAGCATGCGAAGAATCGAGAAGTGCTGCTTCCGCCTGGGTATAATGTTATGTGGATCAATGGCGTGCAGATTATGCCGAGAGATGTTGAGGCTTATGCGCTTCTGGAGCATCTCAGACGGGAGCGGAGGATGATCAAGAGTGTGCAGCAGATTGGGCTGAGTGGATCTGAGGCTATCGAGCTGCTCTCTCACGAGGCTATCACTGCAGCGCAGGACGAGCAAGAGGCCCCTCGGTACGACTGGCGAGATGACGCTGAGGGAGGCGATATTATCATCTGGTTGAACGATCTTGAGAAGGATAAGCGGTACGCTGATTGGCCAGCCACTGCGAATGCACTTCTCCAGCGTACCTTTCCTGGCCAGCTCCCGCCGGTCCGCAAAGAGGTGCACAATTTGGTCTTGCCGGTTGACTTTGCGGATTTCAACGATGTTTTGCTCGTTTCTGAGCAGCTACGGAGTTTTGTTACACGTCAAGTTCCTATTCGGATGGGTCTGGCACCACGGATTCGAAGCGAGACTAGCACGGAGCAGGCGACAATCATCTACTACCTCGTTCACAACTATGGGCTTGGTACTGCACTTAAGTACCTGGAACAATCGCTGGAGGCGGCTGGTCGCAGGTATAGCAAGCCCAACGAGAAGGTGTTCCAAGCTGTGAAGACTGCCGGCAAGCTTCGTCCCAACAAGGAGGACCTTTCTCTATCGGATGTGCTGAAGGACAAGACCTTGTCTGAAAGAATCACAAGGAGCAAGGACTATATCAGCAGAATCGGCAGCACAGATTCTACACCTCCTGTGCTGATCAATGGTGCGCCAATTGCCAGGACCGAGGATTGGCTGCAGGTAATGAGCCAGCAAGTCAGCATTGATCTTCGCACCGTGCAGCAGGCTGTCTATACTGGTCAGCTTGGCGACGAGGATTATCTGCCCACCCTTTTTCTCAGTAAAGCGAGCTTCAGGCGCAATCCCCTGGTTGTGCCGGAAGATGACAGCAGTCTGCGATTTCTCAACCTTGGTGATCATCATGAGTTTGAAGATCTGCCTAGTATTCCTGCTGATCCGCAGACTATTGAACGAGAGCTTGTTCATCTGACTGTGGTGGCTGATCTGGACAGCGAACAAGGATTTGAGCAGCTTATGGAGGCTCTGCTGTATAAGAAGGATCATGACAACGTTGAAGTAGCTGTACTACACGTCCCTCGCGACGGAGACTCCAAGTCCAGAATCGCTTCGGACTTGCAGAAAGACGGCGCGGCTACTGTGTTGGAGAGCCTTATTACTGAGTGGGACAATTTCTGGACCTCAAGCACTGGCGGAGATGCTCCTGATATGAATCTGGAATCCAGACGGAAGATCTATGAGATCCTGAGACTTGCTGCGGCACAGGACAGCACTCCGGAAATCGACGAGGAAGTTCGCAGCTACTGGGCTAAGTTCAATCATCTCATCACCGCTGTGGGGGTTACACCTGGCAAGAAGGCACTGATCGCGAACGGAAGAGTGGTAGGCCCAGTGTCCGATGATGTTCCGATCGAGTCGTCAGATATTGAGACTCTGCTCACATATGAGCGTACGAGACGATTGCTGCCAGCGGCACTTGCGATCGAGGCTCTTGGTCTTCAGCAGAAGTCTTCTACCCCTGTGGCATTCGCACGAATCTCCAATCTGATTGCTCTGTCACTCATTTCGGATGTGCCAGAGGGCATCTTCGAAGCAGCGCCGACGGTCCGCACTGATGTGTTCAAGAAGTTTGAGTCCAACCACACAGCGATCAATATCGGAGATCTGGACACAGCGACGATCCAAATCTATGCTGCGGTAGACCCAGCTTCTGAGGCAGCTCAGAAGTGGATACCCATCATCAAGGTCTTGTCGGAGTTCGATGGCGTCCATGTGCGTCTCTTCCTGAACCCGCGAGACCGCCTTGAAGAGATCCCGATCAAGCGCTTCTATCGACATGTATTGAGCTCGAAGCCACACTTTGAAGCTGATGGCTCTCTTGCTCCGACTGGTGCACAGTTCCGCGGACTTCCTGCAGATGCTCTACTGAACATGGGAATGGATTTGCCCCCAGCTTGGCTTGTGGCACCAGAGGTCACTGTGCACGATCTGGACAACATCAAACTGAGTGCTGTGAAGAACGACATCGATGCTACTTATCAATTGGAGCATATTCTGATCGAAGGTCACTCTCGTGATGTTACGGTTGGACCACCTCCACGGGGAGCGCAACTTGTGCTGGGCACTGATGCCGATCCGCACTTTGCTGACACTATTATCATGGCCAATCTTGGATACTTCCAGTTCAAGGCGAATCCAGGCATTTACAGTCTTGCTATGCAGAAAGGACGGAGTGAGGAGATCTTCCATATTGACAGTGCTGGTGCCTCTGGTTATGATCAGCAAGGAACCGACAACTCGACAGAGATCGCGCTGATGAGCTTCAAAGGAGCGACACTGTTTCCTCGGATCTCTCGCAACCCGGGTATGGAGGACGAAGATGTGCTGGAGCCTTCCAAGTCTGCCCTCGAATCGCTCGCAGATGGTGCAGGTGATCTCCTGGCTCAGGTAGGACTGGGCGATGGTGCACAGAAGTTCCTCGGAAAAGCAGCCAAGCTCGGTAGCGGCCTATTGTCCAAGTCTGGATCCGCCACTGCTACCCCAGAACGCAAGCATGCAGATATCAACATCTTCTCCGTTGCCTCGGGTCATTTGTATGAGCGCATGTTGAACATCATGATGGTTTCAGTCATGAAACACACCAAGCACAGCGTCAAGTTCTGGTTCATCGAACAGTTCTTGTCCCCTTCATTCAAGGACTTCCTCCCGGTCATGGCGGAGACATACGGTTTTGAGTACGAAATGGTTACTTACAAGTGGCCACACTGGCTCCGAGGGCAGAAGGAGAAGCAACGTGAGATCTGGGGCTACAAGATCCTCTTCCTCGATGTGCTGTTCCCACTCGACTTGGACAAAGTCATCTTTGTCGACGCCGATCAAATCGTTCGCACCGACATGTACGAACTCGTACAACACGACCTGCAAGGCGCGCCGTACGGTTTCACACCCATGTGTGACAGCCGAACCGAAATGGAAGGGTTCCGCTTCTGGAAACAAGGCTACTGGAAGAACTTCCTCAAAGGCCTCCCATACCATATTTCCGCCTTATACGTCGTCGATTTGAAACGTTTCCGACAAATGGCGGCTGGTGATCGTCTACGACAGAATTACCATCAATTATCGGCGGATCCGAATTCGTTGAGTAATTTGGATCAGGATCTGCCGAATCATATGCAGAGCCTGTTGCCGATTCATAGTTTACCGCAGGAGTGGTTGTGGTGTGAAACGTGGTGTTCGGATGAGAGTTTGAAGGAGGCGAAGACGATTGATTTGTGTAATAATCCGCAGACGAAGGAACCGAAGTTGGAGAGGGCGCGGAGGCAGGTTCCGGAGTGGAATGTTTATGATGAGGAGATTGGGGGGTTGGCGAAGAGGTGGAAGGAGGAGAAGAGGAAGGGGTTTGTGGACGCTGTTGTGGGATTGGAGGAGGAGAGTATGCAGGAGAGGTTGCAGAGGGAGGATGCGGAGAGGGAGGAGAGGAAGAAGAAGGCTGAGGGGAAGAGGGATGAGTTGTGAGTTGAAGATGCTTATGTCTGACAACATCTACTGTAGAAGGTAGAGATAGAAGGGAATGTATGATCAGCTGCACTTCATCTCAGCTTGTTCTGCAGAGAACCTACTCTCGAGCCTGGCCTCGAGATTTCTGCTACAGCTGCCAAGCAGCAAATTTTTCTGTACAACAAATCCGGCTCGCCCGGCTACGACGTAAAGAGAATTTGCTTATACGAACGCCTACTTCGTACACGACCAAGCTGGTGGGCGAGCTTGGTCGCACCGTTCATGCATGTTTGGGGTGACTCCCGCGCCACTGCAGGTACGCTGGCACGACAGATGTCGTGGCTCGCATGTGCTGCTCCCGTAATCTTGCTTCAACTTCAAAGGAGACATTGCGTAGCAGTGCACTGGTCCCGCACCTGAGGGCAGTAGCAGTCTGCCTGGGATTGTTACTTGAGATGGACTAGAGTCTAGGTCATCAATATTCCCCACACACATCCCAAACAACCTGCAACACAACACGCGGGACAAAAAGTTTCACCTACGCTCATCATCTCCAAGAGTCATTCGATCATCTCACGGCTCTTCTGCGGTCTTCTTCCCACCCGCTCTGTTGATGTGCAACACAAAATTACGTGGAGTTCATCACATTGCCCAGACTTGGGAAACACTACACCATAGTCACTCGCTGAACGCCTGAAACTTGTTTGTCCCAAGGGTCATCGTTGCACCGCTATGAATTTGTGTGGCACCAGGCCTTGGCTGGCTCTTTCATGGAACGACGTCAGCTCGTGATTTTGTGAGAGGACTGGGCTGTGGTGCCTGCTGATCCGGTATAGCTGTGCCCTGGAGGCGGCGTTTGAGAGTGCGATGAAGGACTTTGTGGATGGGATTTGTGAGGTTGTTTCACGATTGTGAAGTGGAGGCGCGGGAAGGTGCTGGGTCGAGGGTGATGAGTTGTGGTAGGAGGATCATGCGGATGTGATGATGATGAGGAAGAGGGCGGAGGGTGAAGTGTACAAATATCAGAGCATGTGTCCGCCTTTTGCACAAAGTTTCTCTTCAACCACGCCACAGCTTCCACAGTCAGTCGCTACTACTACGAGTCTTCTCTTCTCATCGAGCAGGTCTCAGCCTCTTGTCTTCCCCGTTGTTGCAACAATGAAGACGACTATCCTCCTGTCTCTCGCCCTGGCGGCAATCAGCCATGCTATTGCTCTCCCGCAGTTCCCCGTCTCGAAGCTTCCGAATCAATTCTTCAGCCTCATGGCCCTTCGCTCTGCTACGCCAATCCACTTCGGGGGCATCAACGCCAATCGTGGACATCTCTGGATCGGAAAGCAGCCTTCGACATACTGTCCTGGAGTCCAAGGTCTCAACTGCGCAGGAGTGAATACCACTCGTACGACGTTTGCGCTCAGCAATGGAGTCTTGAGTTTGGCGGTGCAGGTTAGTGAAGGACAGAAAGTGTGAGTTCAGCCTCGATTCGGTGCCTCTCCGCCGTGGAGTTATTCCTAATGTTCTCACCAGCTACATCGAATCTTGCGGTCGCGTCTCGTATACTCGTGCGGACGATTCTGACGTGCCAGCCGATGCTGTCACCTCGGGTTGGTCACTTGATAGAGGCCCGAACTTCGATATCCTGAGTCACGAGAACGGCACATACTTCTGTCCTTCTACGGATGTCGATCCTCAGGCCCCTCCTGTCGCCGGTCAGCCCGGCCGTTTGCCAGGCCCTTGGGAGTTCTACGTCGGGATCACGAAGGATCTGCCGGAGGGATGTCTGTATGCGAGCTTAGTTGCTGCAGGCAATGCGGTGAACACCACCGCTTATGAGTATGATTGAGTGGAAGCTGAGTCATGAGCGAGGTGGGGCTATGATGGGGATGTTGGGGACTTCACTTCTTGTCGTGGGGATATTCATGCCTGAGATGTGGACATCTTCTGGCTTTGTTCGAGCATATTGAGTGTGCTGGTTAGATTCTGCAGTCGTTTGGTAGATGCCGGATTGAGCTGGGTTTCTCATCAAATCGTGTTTTCAGATGTCTACTCTGCGTATTTCCTCTTTGGTGCTGTCACAGAGGATTTCGTGTAGTATACCAGAAGCAGATGTGGGGTATCTTGCTCAGCGTTGCAATGCTTCCACTAGGGGTCTCTGCAGTTCCATTTGCAATGAGACTGTTTCGGGAGTCATTGTACTGCCGACTGACTTTCGGCTTCAGTTGTATCCGCGTTCCATGCCCACTGCATAGAAAGTCATATGTTGATAGTCTCGGTCCTTGGCGTATCGTGGAAGCACTGCGTAGTGTCCAAAACAGTTCGTATTCCCGCGCCGTCCGGAGAAGCCGTAGTGACAGACGCCAAGGATATGAATGAATTGCCCGAAGTGACGAAATGCCTACTTGGGCTGAACATCGCGTAAAAAATCCAGTGCAGCGGAGCGAGTAGAATGAGAAGTGCAGGACTCGTCCCTGCTGCTGTTTCTCAGTGATGTCTGGGTTGGTATTGCTGTTCTTCGTCGCCAGTCCCTGGCATCTTACTCTGCACAAGCATCTGCCCCTGACATAGCCAAGTCTGTGCCAAAATGCCGTTCAAGTGTTCTGGACATCACATCCCCGTAAGCGCGTGGTGGCGATAGATTCTGCCGAAGATCATGTACATGGCAATGCTTGCGTCGCACGATGATGGACGATGCAATATTTGGTGACACTGGTGGGCAATGTATACCGGTTCTTTGATGGGGGTGAGGTGTCGTCGGATTGAACCCGAGGAATCCGAGCCGAAACAGACCAGGGCAAATTTGCAATCTGGCTTCGACCTCACACCGTCTCCACTGCTTACCATCACATCACTCTCGACGCTCGACGTGGATTGCATGTCGAAATCACGCCTAGATTGACCGGTACTTCTCTTCAAAAACAGCCGTGGTCTTGGCACGTCCAGAGAGCTCATCTGCCGCGAGCGGGAACCGAGGGACGCCAGCAGCCGACCGGGATACCGTGAGGCATCAGGACATCCACACTAGGCACAGAAGCATTTCTTGACTTACAAGAAATACGCCCTTGTCATCAAAGACTTACTGGCGTTACTGGCGAGCCGATCAACAGCCTATTGTATCACTTCAAACAGATCGGTGCTGCCGGACTCTCCGTATTTACCGAACGCCCACTTGCCCGTTGCAAGTAGTACCAGGCCGAGAAGACCTCTGCTGCGGCTCTACGCCATCTGATCTACGCGCAATGAACCTTTGTGCGTTCATCGGCACGCACGGAGCCAAGTCTATGCTGAATGAGACCTCTCATGCCATGACAGGAAGATGTGGTGCTTCAAGTGGTGCTAAATAGTGCTTACCCTTTCTTCTAGCTCCGGCAGCGCCAAGGAGAAGAGCATCGTATTACCAGGACTCCAGGACTGTGATATCGTAGCAGCCAGCAATACACCTGTCAGCGCTCCTAATGCCGAAGCGCTGTGGTGGCACGAGTACCCTGAAATGGGGTTTAATGTGCACTGCTCAAGTATGGTGGCTGCGACGAAAGTCCCTTTTCTTTCTTGCGGCATAGCACAACTAGGAGCCCATAAATTGCTCCGAGTTTCCTTGTTCAGGCCACGGACCTACTTGTGAGCCAGCTATCTCTGTGCATCATCTGATCAACCGAGATCCGAGAAAGCTCGCTGTCACGTCGATCTGGGGTCTCAAGACGAATACAGTAGGCTAGCTGGCCTAACCTGGCTGCCAACCCTGGCCTGCAACGTGGGGCCATCGGCAACAAGGCAATATGGGGTGCATTTTGGGCGAGAAAGGACAAAGTGGGCACGCCCGCACACTGCTTCGAGTTGGCCTTAACAGACGTTGACAGTGAGACGGCGGCCAGCTCCATATTGGTGATACTCATATCGCTCGGAGTCAAGTTCTTCGAAAGCTGATGAAAGGCACTCGCCTCGCTGAGAACTCAATGTGCAGTGCATTAACAGTCATTGCGACTGAGTCCAAACATGCGCTGATGCCGGTGGGCTAACTTGGAATGGAAGTAGCACAAAGCTCCGATGCGATGCGCTCCCTGCTATGCCAAGAAACCGTCAATGCATGGCTATTGTCTGCGTTGCACTTACGAGCTGATCACTATTCCTCCGACCTAGAGACCCATCTGGATTGCATAGGCGCTCACCACAAATAGCCGATGCCCTGTAGCTGATCTGAAGGAAAACTCCGTCCAAGACTCTAAAACAGTGCCAAGTCCTGGTCAAGATCACTGATCAAGCTCGCCGTCCGAAACACCGACCAGCATACGCAGAGTGGTTCTCGTCTTCCACACATCGACGACGTCGCCGCCAAGATTCAACGTTGTCAACAGAATACCGGATTCGCCGACGGCGGGCCTTGCGCTCCAACCATGCGCGAACATGGCTACACAGCAGATGCATCGCCAGATGTACAAATACCACGTCCTCCTCCCACTTGGTTGACTTCTCATCACAACAACACAACAGCCTCTCCATTCAGCAACTTTTCGTTCGCACAAAAGCTCTGGTAGCTTTCTCATTTTCATTCACAACAAACAATCAAACAGCTCTGGTAGCTCAACAAAAAAAACTCAACATCAATCAAAACCCAACAAACAAAACAATCTATCAAGATGCGTTTCACCACTGCCGCAACTGTAGCCCTGGCTGGCTCTGCTTTCGCCGCACCACTCCAAGTTACTGAGGAGTCCAAGAACGTCGTCGAGCGCGACCCAGAGGCCTTCTTGGGCCAGATCATCGACCTTGGCAAGGGCTTCCTCGGTATCCAGGAGAAGCGTGACCTCGAGGAGCTTGCGAAGCGCGACCCAGAGGCCTTCTTGGGTCAAATCATCGATCTCGGCAAGGGATTCCTCGGCATTCAAGAGAAGCGTGACTTGGAGGAGCTTGCGAAGCGCGACCCAGAAGCTTTCTTGGGCCAAATCATTGATCTCGGCAAGGGTTTCCTTGGTATCCAGGAGAAGCGTGACCTTGAGGAACTTGCAAAGCGCGACCCAGAGGCTTTCTTGGGCCAGATTATCGATCTCGGCAAAGGATTCCTCGGCCTGCAGGAGAAGCGTGACCTCGAGGAAGTGGCTAAGCGCGACCCTGAAGCTTTCTTCGATATCTTGAAGGGACTTGGCCCCGTCGGCGACCTCATCCGTGGTGGCTCATCAAAGCGCGATGCTGAGGCCGATCCACTCTTCGGCAAGGTGCTCCTCGGCGCGTCTCTTCTTCCAAGCCTTCTCGGCGGCAACGAGGAGAAGCGCGACCTTATGGCCCGTGACCCAGAGGCTTTCTGGGGCAAGGCGCTCCTCGGTGCATCCCTGCTCCCCAGCCTCTTGGGCGGCAACGAGGAGAAGCGCGACATCATGGCCCGTAACGCTGAGGCTGATGCATTCTGGGGCAAGGCGCTCCTTGGTGCCTCCCTTCTTCCAAGCCTGTTCGGCGGCAACGAGGAGAAGCGCGACGTTATGGCCCG